CTACATGATAAAAGCCCAGTTTAAATAGAGTGAGTACTATTAAGTCTTTTAAAACCCAACTCTGTCTTTTAAATGTCAGTAAAGGACAGCTCAGCTTTTCCACATATATTGCTGATTTTGTTGAACCAGTTGCATTACTCTGGGTTTTCCAGCGATGTGTTCATCTTCAGTAACATGGTCATGTTATGGTGTCATATTTTGTGAAGAAGGGCGTTAATTTTCTTCTAAGTGCCTGCATTCCCTCGAACTGACTTGTGTACTTGTACTTTAGTTTTCGTCAGTGCTTCCCAGAATATGGTTGAACCATCTTCAGTGAACGAGAGTGAACTTGCTGCATCCAGCGGTGGTTGTACACGTAGGTGGACAGTGATGTATTGATAGATATTGCTGAGCAAGATGTTTTACATTTTAGGAGAAAATGAGTCATACCCCTTAGTCAGTTCTCAAACAGGGCCTTGTCTTGTTTTCAGTTCAAATGGGTCATGTGTTTCCCCAGCTGGACAAAGTGTGCTTACATGTCTTAATAGTCTTAAAAAGCTGAGTATCAAAAATGAGTTTGAGGACTCTGAGGTTAGTCTGTCTGTTTGCCAAACATTAGGACCTGCACAGTAGGGCCGAATGATTTATCGCATTCAAACAAAGATTGTAGTGTCATAGAGCACAATTTTCAAATTGCTAAAACTGCCATTAAAGAAAACCAACCAGGTCAGAAACAACTGGCCCAGGGGGCTTCTCGTGCACACACACTGCCCTACACGCCACCTCACATTTGCAAGTGAGAGTAGATGAAGACAACAGCTTGTTAAATGCCACACGCAAGCTTTTATGCTTGCTGCACTACGATGTGAAAATGGCAAAAGCCGGGTTTAGATACAGTCCATTTGATAACATATAACATTGTTTATTGTAGGGAGTGTAGGGCTGCTCACATGTGGCAAAAATCATAATCATGATTATTTCAGTTAATATTGTATTATATATATCTATCTGTTTGGTTTCTGTTTCTCTCATACTTCTTCAGTGTGGACAAAGTGTCCAGGTTGTCAAGGAATGGTGGGTGGTTTGATGCAAGGTTGACAGAGGGAGAATTCTACTCTCTGAGAGGCACGGCTGTGTTGAAAGCAGCACCCTTGTCTTGGTGCCAGAGAGGGTGTCAGAGGGCAGTGCCTGGGCAGAGTGGCACAGAGTTCACCAGCAGGGAAATGCTGTGTCAGCCCTTGAACAAATGATTCTCTCTGTCTGAGGTTTCAGTGTTTGTGTATGTCAGGCTTTCTTTTTCGGTGTTTCTTCTCAATGATGCTGATGTGATTCATCAGTTCCCAGCATGCCCCTGCCTCTCTGTCTGGCATGAAAGAACAAAATTGTCATCCTTTGTCTCGTTGAATACCTGACACTGGTTTTCTTTCACTTTAAATTGTATTGTTTGTTGTATTAGACTGTTTATATTGACCATGTCACATTGTGTGGGGCACTCACATGCTTAATTTTGACTTCACACTCAAATATTTTTCAGCCTCTGCATCCCCTCTGTCAGGTGAGATGCGGGTGTGGGAAAGTAAAACAGAGACTCCTGGTTCCAGTGAAGTCCATTGTGATACTCTGAATCAGAAGCTACAAAGAAACAAGGGGTGGGGGTTCTCATCCTGTCCACTTCGAATTTGATTTGGCTTTTTTGATTAAGAATGTTAATGGATTCTTCAGGTGTGAGTTCGTTGCATTTTCTCTTAATTATAAATTTACTATTAAAGATTTATTTACCTGGTCTCAGGTTGGTTCACTGCTTACTCACTCTCTCTGGTTGGGTCCATTTGTGTAATAGGTAGCTCAGTGTTTCTCCTAGCATTTGACCTTTGACCTGTGCTGGTTCAACAACTCTGACCCCTCTTTGAGCGGTGAGAGATGCTGTGTGTTTGTCGGCTGTGAGGGGAACTGCTCCCACGCAATTTAACAACTGAAAGTTGATTGTTTGTACTCGTTTATTGCATTGCTGTGCAGTGTGTTTTAAACTGAGAGACTACCGGTTTGAAGTGCAGGATAGATCTAATGAGCTATTGAGCTGTTGTCATGTTAGCTGCCTGATGATGGCTCCATGGCTCACCTGGCTGTCAGAGCTCCAGTTAGCCACTAATAATGGCTGTTATTCGCAAGTTATTCCGATGATGTTTCTCTGTGGATGCAATTATTCTCCTCATTGTTGAGCTCTGGTGAAGTCAGGTCGAGTAAGTTACCCAAAGTTTGCTCTGACAGCCCAAACATGCAGATAAAATCAGTTGGTAAAGGGATGAACCTCACAACATCATAACATAAGTCATTCGAGCATCATTGTTAGCTAAGCTAACTGAGAATAATCTGATTAAAAACCCATAACTTTTATTGATAAAGTCACCTCAAAAAAATGTTCAGGTTTTACCTCATGATCGGCGCATCTAATGGGAATTTTACATAAGTATTATTATTGATGTCTGTAAGTATCTTAGCCTGAATTTTCAACCTGGTATAGGAGTTCATGGGAGAGTGTGAGGCTTTGACTTTCTGTATTCAGTCACCTTTGAGTTTGTGGAGCTGTATGGAGGGACGAAGTGAGACTTTCTGAGATGACTGGACTTTTGTATTTACCCTGCCATTCACCTGTGAGCCCTGCTAAATGTAGAGACCGAAGAAAGGACAACAAGTCATATACATGCCCCCGTCAAACAGAAAACTCCTCTGATCACTGTGTTTTCTTTACTTCTTTATATTAAACTACATTGAAGATTGTGTTTGATATGGTGTTACAGCTTTTAGTTTTAATGGAATGTTTAATCTTTTAATACATAAAATGCTTTTTATTGATTATAAAATACTTTCAATATGCCACGCATCTGCTTTAGGGATTTACTTCAAACAAATGCACAATAAACAAGTAGTAATGTCAAGTTTTGCCCTATTTAGTTTGAGACATTTTAGTTGCTGTCGGTTATTGAGTCTGTGACGACAAATGATGTTTAGTCAGGACTTTATATGGTCTCTCTGTGTAACTTGTGGTAGTAGACAAACTTTCATCTCAGACAGTCAAACAAATGTGTAAAAGTAGAAAACATTTTACACTCAAATGGTGACGTTTAAAAGCTGGCGGCGCACCGCTGCTTCTGTAAGCAAGTATTTATCAGGGTTTCTGTGTCACATCATAATGGTTTCCAGTCATTTGGAAATAAGTGAGTTTTAATCATGGAACAATTCCTGTTCGCGGATGGACCAAGGCTTGCCTCATTCAGAGGAATGAAGCATTACATCATCCCTGGAGCAGAGGGGAGTAACTCCTGGCTCCCCTCACACACCTCACTCCATCCATCAGTTTATTTTCTCCTCCTCCCTCTCAAACCCGTTTCTACCTCAGTCTTCCCCCACCTCCTTGTGCTCCATATCACTCTTACGGCTAATCCCCACTGCATGTGTTTTATAGAAGCATTTTTCAAGACTTTTAAAGTCCATTTGTGTTGCTGTTAGTGAAGTGTAAACTACATAAACAGCTGTTAAGATCACATAAACTCCTACTTTAAGTATTTTGTGAACCTATCTACAACTCTATTAAGTTCCTGCATTTTGTTTTCTTCAATGCTTCAGTGCTAGTGGTTTGTACTTCCCAGAACAGCAGTCAGGTTTGTTGTGGTGGGCGACGCATTTACGGAAGACAGAGTCAGCGTAGACTGGATGACACAACGCTTACGTGCTGCTTACATCTCACTTACATCTCGCGTCCAGTGGGGATTCCCAGTTAGTGAAGGCTGTCTGCTGAACTTTGGGACTGCCTGGCCTAGTTCACTCAGTCTTGCCCCTTGATGTCACCCATTCATTTTCCCTGACATGGGTCTGATTTCTCTTCTTAAAAAAGGGGGCTGAAACAAGCTGCTGTCTCGTCCAGCCTCATCTTGGTAGACGTGACCCATACATGACAAAATCCCTTTTCATTTTCATAAAATGCCTATGAACCTAAAATGAGTGGACAAAAACAGTTAGGAGTATCCTTTTGTGCTTTGTCTTCTGTTTTTTTTGTGTGTTGTTTTGTTTTTTAAAATTCAGCAACAAGGTGAACACACTCATGCTGCCCATCCTTCTCTCAGTAGAAGGTCGTAGGATTGAATACGTAAATGTGTGTTGGTTCCATGCTGTGTGTAGGCTCAAGCCTGAATTATTTAATCCTCCAGTCCTGGTCATCTTTCATGGGATGACATGAATGTGAACCTTGTTTGGAAGGCTTCGGGATCTGTGGTCGTCCATCTGCCCGGTCAGAGCTGCAGCTGTCCACTCGACAGGGCAGAGAGAGCTGTACATCATCACAAAGTAGACTGTGACATTGGGATATCTTTGGACAGAAGGGCCAGCAGATGTATTTTCTAGTTTCACCTCATATGTCAGATTTAGAGACGAGATCCTTCTAGGTTAAGAATGACTGTGGCGGTCAAATTCACACAGACACATCTCCCAAGCAGGAAGTGAGGCCGTCCTGCGTCCTGCCTCTATTTGTGTGGCTGCCCAAAGCTGTCGGCCTGACCAGTTGGTATCTATAGACCTAGTCCAAGATGATTGGAATGGGCTCCTAACAGCCCACTGACTCGGACAACAATAGAGCTCCATGACCTCCAGGTTATGTATAGAGCTGTACAGCCACTATCAGCAGCCTACAGAGCTGGCTGTTTAGAGAAAGAGTAAAATAGAAAGATGACAGTGCAGCGGGTCTGACATCATTTCTGTGTCCTCTTTTTTTAACCGTACATGTGTCACTAATCTGTTCATTTATCAGTTTTGCTACCACCTTGGATATCGTTAAGATGAAAACTTAGATTATGTAAGCCGTGATGTTCTCTCCATCACTCTGGTGACTGGTCCAGTCAGGTCTGTCAGGACTGACATTTGAATTCATACACCTACTAGGCATACACTGCATAATTTCTTTCAAGCACTCTGGAAATAAATGGTGCCTTGGTTTGATTGCTTATTGTTTTTTTTTCCTCCTCCTACAGGGGTGATCAGCCAGTGGCAAGGCGAGTCTAAGGAGCGGGTCATCTCGCTTGTCCTCACCCATCTCCCACTGCTCAAACCCGGCAACGTCGAAGCCAAGGGCGAGTACATGCGCCTGCTGCCACGCATCCTGGCTCACACCATCGAGCATGGCCGTCACCTGGAGGAGTCGCGCCAGCTCCTGTCATACGCCCTCATCCACCCCGCCACCTCCCTGGAAGACCGCTCTGCCCTCGCACTTTGGCTGAACCACCTGGAGGAGAGGGCGGCTGCCCGGGGAGACTCACTGGAAAGGCCTCCTCCTTCTGGACCGCACCATCACCACCACCAGTCCACACCTCCATCCACCCTCTCCTCATCAGGTTCCTCCTCCTCCACTAACACCTCTTCATCAGGCAATCTCTACTCCTTGCATCACCACCAGCGCTACGGCTCGGACGACCGCCTCAATGGGTGGCAGAGCTCCAGGGATTCAGGGCTGGGTGGAGGCTGGCATCAGCAGCAGCAGGGCTGTGAGAACGGGCACCTCCTTCTCTACCCATCATCCTCTGTGCCGGCAACCATCAACACGGTCGGGACTGGTGGAAGCGGTAACACTCGTAAGTGAAGTCTCCTCTGTCCTGTGTTCCTTCAAGTGCACTAAGCATCTTTCTATTCATGTGGAGCTTTAACAGGAGTCCGCACATACAGAAAATCAGCGTGCGTGGTTGTTTCTCACAGTGCTCTCACAGTGTAACACTTGATAATGTAATGTAACAGCGCAGGTTAACTTACCTTAACACCTTTTCAAAGTGTGATAAAATAATAAAAATATACACATATAATGAAAAAATGTGGTCTTTTAAAATATCTAAATATTAAAAGAGCACCAGCATCTCCAAATCTGGTCCATCATGGCATTTTTATTGCTTTTTACCACCACTACAGTGTTCTATCTCATCCATACAAATGTCATGTTTTCATCAGGCGTCCTGGAGGATAGGTAAGGAGTTAGGGATGGCCATGAGGACTCGAGTACTTGATTTGGACTTCAGTATTTGTTTGACATATGAGAAAGGTGCATTTTTTCGGTTGGGACGCAGTGATGGAACTGTTACCTATGAATATCTGTACAGATCCATGTAGCAAAAATGATAAGTTTGGACAGCCACAAAACAAAAATATGTAGTGCAAGCTGTGTAAAGTTTGACTTGTGTATTATAGCTTATCTTTGCAGTCTGTGCAGTGTACAGGTAGGCTAACCCTAACCCCTACCCGCATTTCCTATGGGTGTTCATTTTGGGCCATTTTCTTTTTGCGAGTACTCTATAATGACTTAATGTGAGCGCTTGAATATGGATAACTTTTAGGTGCATACTGATACATACATACATGACTACAGATTGATAGAAGGGCTATAAACTTAATCGAATCATCCCATTGGCCATGGGAGGTTTTTACCCGTTTGTTCCATACATTTTATCATCTGACTGACTTGTATAATCGCCCTGAAAACAACCTTTTTGATACTTATCAAGTTATTAACATGAAAATGGGGTTGACCTTCTCAAAAATAATGTGAAGGGATTTAAACTAAAATGAAAAAACAATAATACTTTAAATGATTCACCGTTGAGAATGTTAAGTATTCTGTCCAGGTTTCCTCTGTTACACTCCCTCTTCCTGTATGTGTTTTTATTCCATTGTCTTCGTTAAATGGAATCAATGCTGCAGGAAACAGAGGTGGGTTTTTACTGGAGGATCCTCTGAATCATTTAATTACAAGAGACATAAAACAACAGTAAAATCTAAGTGGGTTAGTTTGTCTCCTTACCTTTTCCATACACAAACTCTGTTTGTTTGACAGAGAAGAGAGACTGTTAAAAATGCCTCAAATAAGAGAACATCTTAGCGCTTACATCTGCCCACAGTTTAGATTCCTTAGTCACAGGTTTAAGGTAATCCATCAATAATTATGCTCCTTTCATTCATTAGAATAAGATGGCAACTTTATTTCCTTTGATTGCCCTACTTCACAGAAAAATTGCCAACATGTAGCACTATTTCACACACTGTCACCCTTTGCACATGGAGAAAAACTGACTCCTTGTCAATCATTTTGTTGTCAGTGTGCAGACATTTTTTCTGTGAAGCAGGGCTTTAACTTTTGGCTACACACACCTGACACTATCTTTTGAAAACCTTGGATTCAAGGGCACGAACCCTTTCACAATTCATTTATTCGACTCACTTTTATTTCCTTTGATTACCTTATCTTTTCAGATGTGAGATGGGCTTTTTAACTTCAGACTGACTTTTGTACTTCTAAAGTCAAGGTGGTCAAAACCACTACGCCATCTGAGAACACCTCAGTGATTATAGCCACCTACTCTGGGCTGGCCTGATGATAACCTCTCTGTCTGGGGTGGCCACCTGATCACCCGCGCCCAGACTAGGGTCTCTAAGCCTCTCTGTTGAAGTTGAGATTGTATGAATTTACTTTAGCATCAGCTGTGCTTGATTGGATATTAAGAAATTACACTTAGCACAAAAAACATCTGTATAGCATTTGGCAGCACAACAACGAATACAATGCATCTTTAAATTCAGTTCAAATGCCAGTTTCATTATAACTCCATTAAAGATAATCTAAAGACACAAAGTGCACTCCAAACCTACCAAACTCACTAAATACACCCTGAACACAGTAAATACACTCTGAACAACCCACACAGCAACTACAGAGGCTGTGTGAGGTGGAAGACAACACACACAGAGGGCAGGGCTGTTGAAATTGAACATAACTATGGTCAGAGCAGGATATTTCCAGACAAGAATGCAAGGGCTCTGTGTTTTTTTTTTTCTGGGAGATGAAAGAAACAGCTGAGGGTTTATAAATAAAGACACATTTAAAGCCCTGCTCACTGCTCCAAGAAAGATCCTCTTGTATTTTTGACTGCCAGCAGCTTCAGTCCCACACAAAAGACCTCAGGATTTCACAACTGATAAACTAGAGTTACCCCAGCTGCCAGCACCTGATTGGTGGACACGATGAGCAGATGCTCTTCTCAACTAATGAAATGTTGATTACAGTAGAATTGACGTGTGGATATTCAGTGGTATGCAAATTTAAAGCACATAAATTTTTTTACTCAGATTCAGCCACCAAGTCTCCAACACCCCCCTCCCTAAACACTGTTCATCGGGTCATGATGGTGATTACAGGAGTATAATTGTCCAGCCACATCAACCTGTGTGCCACTGACACCACATCCTGTTGACCCCCCACCCATACTCTCAGCCGTAGTCCAAGCCACAGCAGCACATACCACCCATCCTTTCCCTTGTAAGGCAGCCTTTGTGGGAGACTGTATTTAGGGAAAATGGCTAATATTTAGGGACTGGAACTTGTAATGTTAGCTGGGCACCTATTTTAAACAGGGCCCATGAAGTCCTATACATAGCGCCAACAGTAAGAGGACCGCATATAGGAGGAGGAGGAGAGAGCCTGGAGTATTGGTGGCAGCTTACCCCGTCAGAGCGGCGACACAAAAAGCTCTCTGGATCTCTACCTTTTCATTCTGTTTACTTCCTTCGGCAGGAAAACTCAGAGATGTTAGAGCTGCTGTTACTGGGGTTACAATGTTAGGATCTCAGTAATAACAGTTACCTCCATCATAAGCCTCCATCATGAATCCATCCTGAAGTGCACAGGATTCAATTATTAATTTAGAAAATAGGTCAGAGAAGAAGAAAGAAGAAAGGTTTATCATTCAGACAGATGTCTTGGGAATGGAATCATTTCATTGCTGTAGGTACAGGAAACATCAATGATAGTTCTACCTTACTTGGGGGATGTTATTTCGCTTGTAGCGTCAAGTTTGAGTCTTAAAACCAACAAGCAACTTAAGGAGAGAATTTAGATCCAGACCAAGTGTGTGTGAGTTAATATGGCTGTTTCGTTTAGCAGCGCATGTTAAACTCGATAAATTGACTGACTGTTGAGCAGACATTTTGCAGTACACATGGATTTAAGAATATCTAAATGCATTTTAGAGATGGAGATTATTAAAATCTGGATGTCAGCAGTCACAAACAAACTAGATATCAGGAGAGTTTTGTGGGTTCACTGCCTGGCAGATGCAGCCTCCTCCCTCCAGCTGTCTCTGGTTAAATCACAAACAAATACTGCGCTTTAATTTCACATCTGAGCTACTTTTACAAGTATAGCTGTTGAAATGTAATGTTAGCCGCAGATCAGAGATTGTGCAGTCACCTTTTGCAAAGCAGTAAACATGTTTTTTGATAATGTGTGGAGAAACAGCTAAATGAGTTCATGTGTTCAGTGTTTAAAACAAAGGATTGAGTGAACAGCAGTATTTTCCAGAATGATTTATTGCAGTCATCACTAAGCTCTAAAAGTCTGCACCTACCTGACTGCTCTTGCTGTCGTCTCTCAGTCCTGACGAGTGGAGGTGGCAGCCAGCAGCACAGTCCCCTGAAGCGCTCTGTGTCCCTCACGCCTCCCATGAGTGGCCCCAGCAACCAGCCTCTGGGCCATGTCTGGCTGTCCCAGGAGGACCTTCGGACCGCTCGAGGCCCAGCCCCAGACCACGCACCGCTCTCACCCCAGAGCAGCATCGCCTCCTCAGGCAGTGGAGGCAGCGAGCATCTGGAGGAGGCTGGTTTAGGAGGAGGGTCAGGTCTGCATCGCAGTTCCTTCCATGATGAGGGCAGTGGCATGAGGGGTGAGTATGACCACGTACGTGGAATGCCACGGACTTAGTTGCAGTGTCACTACATTTTAACACACCTTTTTGGCCAGACATACTGTCGCTACTTTTCCTTGAAAAGAAACACCAATAAAGAGCAACATGCAGCTACTATCTCAAAGTAGAGGCCACAGGTGGTTTATTTCCTTGTCTTATTTTCTGATAATTATATCAAGTTATTACAGTTAATTCAACAATTGTGTAATGTTTGTAGAAGTCATTCCAACATAAAAAATATCACCTCTAGTTGATGTAAAAAATGTGTTTAAATCCATAAATGCAGAGTTGATAGATCTTATTTTAAACTGTTTTATGGGACATTTAAATTACTTGGCTTTCTAAAACCTGCAGATACCATGTTCTGACCTAGATAGAGGCAGACATTGCAGTGCAGTGTGGTCTGGAGAGCAGGGGATCAGGCTACAGGGAACAAATATTAACATCATTTGTTGTGAATATTTAAAAATGGAGCATCAAACTGTGTTGATATTATTGAATAGACTGCGTTGTAATGCTTGATGATGTTCTGGGTGATTCAGGGTGAATGAAAAACTCACTACATTGATGTAAGCTTCACTTTGGCCCTGATTTTTCACCTGCAGACAGCTTTTGGAGCTCCCCAACAAAATCCTCAGATCAGAGGCAAAGTGGAGTTGGCTCGGCGCTTGCACGTCGGCACTCGAGCGCTATGTGTGAACTGTTCAAAGAAGTGAGCTGAGAGGCTTGCTGATGCATCACACAGATGCTCCCCAGATATCTAGCAGGCTAAATGACTGAGCCTTTGGACAGCCAATGTGAGTGCAAGACACAGGTTGAGGAAAGAGACAAGGACTGAGCATTGTGGTGCTCTACAAGATGTGTGTGTGTGCATTTGTGTGTTTGAGAGGAAGAGATAGAATGACAGAGAGATGGGAAGAGAAGATGGAAGGTGGACTGTTGCATGCAGTGTGTCTGTAAGTTATTAATAACTTACTCAGAACGCTGCATTGTCACTTTTTGACCCGCCTGCCTGAACCTGTGATATCTCCTAGTAAGCACCTACGGGGCTGACTCGTGCTTCACATGACACACTCATTGGGGATTCCTCCCAGTGAAAGATTTCGGAGAGTCACTGGTCAGTCATGTAAAATGAAAACCAAAATGACTTTGAGACTCTTGATTACAAGAGAGCAAGTTGTGTGGTGTGAGCAGTACAGCAATCTGACGACTCTGAAAGTGGTGTAGTGTGAACCTTGCTTTACATGCATTCACCTAGAGGCTCTGGCAAGTTGTTTATCCAGTCAGAGCAGTTTGTCAGGGGAAGCAGAGGCCAGAACTGCTAACCTCTGTGACCTTACTCTGAGGCTATCACTCTCTCCTCTGGAGCTGAAGCCTTCAAGCAGCCTCTGTCTTACCTTTCAGAAAGATTTTTCATGTTGTCATGTAGCTAAACAGGAAGGCAAAACTAACATTCTTCACCGACAAGTTCAAGAGAACGAGCTATCATTTGTCATTTTTACTTTAGAGGAAAATATTGACGGAATATTCCAGTTATCTGTTACTGCCAGAGAAGACTCTGCGCTGGGTGTCAAGTGTCAGGAGGTGGAATAAGGTTTACAGAGCACTGACTTCTTAAGATTTAATGTTGGGGTTTGTGGACTCCTATGGCTAGATATTTTGTTTAATCCATCACAGATTTGGTCTTAAACTATATGAAAAGATCTATTATTCATTGAAATCAAACAGTGGTGTAATTGTGATCAAACACTCAGTCTGTATTACTTTACTGGAAGGTGGAGGTCTGCTTGTACAGTGGGATGGACAGACCAGTCCCTGGGTGCACAGTCATAAAAGTCCGTGTTTGCTGTCAGACCTTCGGCAAAGATGTCAAAGTGAGTCGTTAGATGAATATAGTGCAGCAGATTAACAAAAGAAACATACCATAAACATGAGTAAATACAGCAAACAAAGGAGAAACGCACATTCACAGAGGTTATTCAGTGTCTTCTAAGTTGCAAAAAAGAGACTGCACCTAGCTTTACTCTGAACTGCAAAATAGGACAAAGATGTCTCACCAAATAGCAGCTAGCAAACACTCTCAGTGGTTTGAATGAGCATGGACAAGCTGAGCATTACTAAGCCATGTCTAAATAAACATGTGATCAGTAAGAATTTAATCAGTTGATCATTCTGCCAACAGCACTTCTTTCTTAATGCTCATACTTTAGCTTGATTTAATCTCACATATTTATATTACACACATGCACATTTGCCTCAGATAGTTTATACATTACAAAAACAACATTTTCCAACATGTAGACCATGTGAACACAACACTAATTTGTCAAAAATATATCTTTTTATTTTTTATCTATGATGAATACTTTCAAAATATTTTACTATGGTATTATATATTTGGTCCAGTCAGTATGTAAGGATATAATGAGGGACCAATGTATGTTTGTATACATTGATTTAATCTGGAATGATGTTAAGGTTGATATCCAAAAATGTATTTCAGCACTATTCTCTTTTGCAGATGATTTTTTTTTATGCAATATGTATTTATTTTTATTTCCTATGTATGATCAATTTTTATTGACAACAAAGAAAAACTGTGTAGGTTCTATGTTGGCTGCAGCAGTGATAATGTAGGAATTAAAGCTGCCCAAAGGAGTTATTATTAAAATAACTGTCTTCTGCCTCACAGATGTTCCTGCGTGGCTCAAGAGTCTCCGTCTCCATAAATACGCCGCTCTTTTTTCCACCATGACCTACGATGAGATGATGTCACTGACTGAAGAGCAGCTAGAGGCACAGGTTTATACACACACACACACACACACACACACACACACACACACACAGACGGACAGAGTTCATTTCAGTTTAATTTGTTGGAGGACCAAGAACTTTATAAGAAGAAGTTGTGGCAGTGTACTTTCGTTCTACACACTGTTACAAGTTGTGTGACTAAGTCAATTGAGTCAGTAAGGGCTGTCCCCCTGAAAGTCGAAGATTTGAATCATCAGTTAGAGACCTCAGTCGACTGAGGTTCTTCAAGTTGGGCAGTCGGGATTTTTTGGTTTTGTTTTGTTATTGCGCCAGTCAGTGTTCAGCGTACTTCTGGGGACGTTTTGATCTCCACATATAGCTGCAGAGCGAGCGCACCTCACTTTCATGCTGCTCTCTGGTACAGGCAGCTGTGGACTCAGACCCAGTAAGTCTGAGTGAGACGTGGGCAGCTGCCCCGAGGAACAGAGGCTTTGCCGAGGCTCCGAGATAACTGCTTAGAAGTGGTTAATTTACAGAACACAGTCACTTTTTTCAATATAGTCTCTGGCTTTTGTTTGATATCTACTGTTGGCAAAAAATGTTGCACGATTCCGATCCATCGTTAGCATAGTTAGCATGCATTAGCTCAGAGTGCGACCTTGGCTTGTTTACGGTATTGCATGAACATCGCAGTTAACCAGAACATCCGACCAAAACCCATTCAAACTCTTCATTCATTCACAATTCTGTGGCTAGGGCAACAACTCAGGTCCCTCTTTACTTCTTGTCAATGACTGCATTAACATTAATTCCAACAGGAAATACACAGGGACCCATTTATAATATTTATGTTGTCAATTTTGAAGCGGGCTATATGGGAAAAAAGAGGAACAAATAGGCAAATATTTGTATTAAACAGCCAAATCGGATTCAACTGCCATTCTGAGTCAACATTATCAAACGCATACAAACCTTATTGTAATGCACCATTTCAGACACTGACATTTTTATGCAAGGCAGTACTTCAAAAGACTGCATTTCAGGGTGCAGGTCTAGTACACAAGTGGCAGAAACTAGTATTAGATAAAAAGTTATAATCAATCGTAGTTCAGAAAACAGATGTGTTCCTGTAACTAGCTTTAGCCAGGTCAAGTTGATAGGTTCATAATACTTTAATAAATGGTACAAGACTAATGGAGCGATTGTTTTGCTTGTACTTAAAGACATAGAGGAGTTTATTCTGAAAGAGGATGCAGCTAAAATTAACACAGCTCACCGGGAAGCCGTATACTTCCTCCAGGTGCTGCTGACTTCTTCTATTTGAACCCAACATAATGCACAGCTACAGTGAAACGTGCTGAGCTTCAACAGAGTGAGAGATGTCCTGTGTGACAATGGATTCAGTTTACTGCTGTTGGCTTGACCTGGAAATATCTAGATTGGCAGTATCAGTTTTTCATGGGACATGTAAGAAGTTGTATCACCTAAAATTAATCAGCTGGAATCAGTTTTAACAGTTTCTGCTGTCCCAACCAAAGATGAGATAAGTCATTTTTCTCCAAGCTTCACTGGCTGCTGTGAATTTTCCAGAAAAACCTCACTATTGAGGAAACTAGCAGACCCTTTGAAAGAGCATTCACATTCTGGTTTTACACTGCACATCTCTTTATCTCAAGGAATATGTATCAGCTGTTTGACACAAAATTCTTTCCCAACAGAAGGTCACTAAAGGAGCACGACACAAGATCGTTATCAGCATCCTGAAGCTCAAAGAGAGGCAGAACCTACTGCGCAGCTTGGAAAAGGTCAGTGACTATACACCATGTCCTATTCTTTTTCTCCTCTTAAAAAATCTCACAAAGATTTTAGTCCTACCTGAAATTATTTGAATTCAGAAATTTTGTTAATTTATTTGTTATCGATGATTGAGCTTGTAACCTTAACCACCACATCTCCACCTCGCTTCCTGTGTGTTTGTGAGAGAGAGAGAGTGAGAAGGGTGGCCATTCTCAGTGGGTATTATGTATCTGAGATGGCAGCTAAGGGAACACCTAATCCAGGAAGGAGAGTTTTGGGCTCCGAATTTAAACTCATCCGCCCCCCTTCTGCCACTCGCCCCTCCATTCAGCCTTCAAAGCAAGACAATGGCACTCAAGGGCACACCGCAGGAGGGACTTCTTGGGCCGGCTAAATTCAGGCTTAACCTTTTCACCAACGCTTCATTTAAAAATTTGTTACCGCTGTATTGGTAGGGCTGGGGAAACAAGACACCTGTTGCTTGGTATTTTGGGTTTACACAGACTCGTGTAGAGGACTGCTGGGAGGCTGATATGGTGCATGTGGACACAAGTACTGAAGGAAAACCGCATGTATGTATTTTTGGTTTTACTTTATTCTCTGCTCTATCACATGGCAGTGTGGTCAGGGATCCGTCTCCTCTGTTGGTCTGTGTGTCTGTCTCTGTCTTTATATTCAGCATGTTCATTGAAAGTAACATAAATTTATTGTATGATTATGTTAAAATTTGTGTCAGGGAGGTGCAATACGATGATAGATGAAGCTGCAATACTTAGCCCCAAACCCGTTTCTTATGTTTTTTCCCCTACCCCTTGTTTTCAATTGCCATCTTGCCCCTCAGAACAGAGTTACAAGGGGTAGTGGTTGAAATCTCCCACTATGAGATGGGACAACCCTTCAAGATCCTGGTATGTTACTGGTAGTCATCAATGCTAGCATTTAGATAAACAGACACGACAAGTGTTCGGACATTGTGAATTTGCTGTCTTCTGCTGTGGTGACTTCTCATGTGGGCTGTAGGCAGCACTTTACAGTTGTTGGGATGTCTGGATTTGTCCAACTTAAGTTTCATGCTAGCATAGCTCAAACTAGTCATTAAAAAAAAAAGAAGAAAAGAACACTGCTTCCTTACCAGGCCACTAGTGGTGCTCTGTGGTTTAACGTTAGGTAGTAAGGGGGGCTATATGACAAAAAAATTTGTGACTGTCATGCACAAATCTGCCATGACATTGTAACGTTAGCTAGCTAGCTTGTTAGCTACCGAAGCATTGGCATACTAGCGATTTCTTTTGTTATGTTTGTTGTTAAGAAAAGGACCATAATACATTGAAACTACATTAAACTAAGATAATACTCTGGTTACTGTAATTTTTTAACCGTCATTAATGGTTTTTGTGGGTTTCTTTTGTTGCTCATCCAGCTGTCTTGCCCATGATTTCTCATAACACTTGTTTTGGTGTGTGCCTCTTAAAAGCTTCACTTTGGAGGGCCAAGTAGCCCTAACACTTCACTCTACCCCACTGTCCCAACAAGAATCAGCACCTGACCCCTGTAAATGTGAACAGAGGGCTGAGTGTTAAGTGGTAGGGGTAAGGGTTGTGTTGGGATTTGGCCTTATTCTTGACGTCTTTATTGTAAATGCCACACCAGATCTGTCACTCGGATAGAAGTCCTTATTATTCTACTGAGTCATATCATCTGCTCCTCCCCACACCCTCCCTTCTCTTCTCTGCTGTCATTTACCACCACTAGGATGTGTTGGAGGGCAGTAATCTGCGCGCCCCGCTGCAGGAGCTCCACCAGATGATCATGACGCCTATCAAAGCTTTCAATGGTGGCGAGGAGGCCTCCCTGCAGCGCCCCCTGCTGAGCCACGAGGGCAAGAGCGCAGCACCAGGCTCCCACCTGACTGGGGTTGGCGGAGGCGGAGGGGAGGCTGAGTCAGGCGCAAGCGTCATCGCCGAGGGGGATCTACCTGGCCAGTTCACACGTGTCATGGGCAAAGGTGAGCTGCGTGCACCAGCACTCATTATTTTCATGGACTGTGGGAGGGTTTGGTTTTAATGTTTTATTTTCCATCTCTGCCTCCTCCTCAGTTTGTACCCAGCTACTGGTGTCGAGGTCAGACGAGGACAACATCAGCTCCTACCTACAACTCATCGACAAGTGCCTTATCCATGAGGTACCCACTCCCTCTGGAATACACTTATGTAGTCCACACACTTTTTTATCAAAATGAAAAATCAAAAACATAGAAAAACACAACAAATACACACAGCACAAATATACTATGAACAGACAGTACAGGAGGTTTAGACGTGATATCAGTCAGTGAGAATTTAAATTTCAAATAGCCAACATGTCTGTATGTAAATAGCCTATTATCAAAGTTATGTTTTTCAGTGTTCTAAGTTTTGACTTCTTCCTGAAATGACTATGCACAAAATGATGGTCAAATAATATGTATTTAAGTTTAATTAATTTTTTAAAAAAATCCTAAGAGAGCTTTTCTACTAATAATCACTAATGCATCCGTGATTCGGCACGTAATATTTGGTAAACATGTAATAGGTCTATTCTAAATACAGCAAATATGTACATACGTGGAACTGCCTCCCGGGTAGTGATATGCAAAATATCTTAATTTTCTTCAGCTGAATTATTAACATTTCAGCCCCCTGCAGAAACTTTCACAGAATTGAAATTTAGACAGAATTCATCAACTCAATAATTTGAGTTGTGTGTCAGTAAAATGAAATACCACAGATCATAGAAGAGTTCTGCTAGTTAAAAGAGGAATGCTCAGGGTGTCGGTGGCTTAGTGGATAGAGCAGGCGCCCCATGTACAAGGCTGTTGCCGCAGCGGCCCGGGTTCGACTCTAGCCTGTGGCCCTTTGCTGCATGTCATTACCCCTCTCTCTCTCCGCCCTTCATGCTTAACTGTCCTATCTATAAAGGCAAAAATGCCCAAAAAAATATCTTTAAAAATGCTCTCACCCAGACCACTCTGTGCCTGTCTGTTTCATTGTGATATTGTAGACTTCGTGCAGTACCAGGTTTTAGATTTACTCCCATGTGAAGCAGACTTTGGGTCATTTTTTGCGACACAATGTACCTGAAAATCCTTCGCCGTGCTTCATTTCATCCACGATTCGTACTCTCTGTTCTCCCCTCCCCCCTCCCTGTCAGTCCTTCACTGAGACACAGAAGAAGAGGCTGTTGTCATGGAAACAACAGGTCCAGAGGCTGTTCCGGTCCATTCCGAGGAAAACCCTCCTTGACATTGCAGGGTACCGGCCGCAGAGGAGGTAAACGTACAGACATGCGGTGGCTTTCATTTCCTGGGTTTCACTGCCTGTGATGAAAACACTATTAATCAAAGTCACTTTAATAAAAGAAGCAGAAAATCTCAATCAGAAAAGACACAGATTTCTGGCTTTAAATGATGAAATGAGTGGGAAATGTTAGAAAAGGTTAGAATATAATTGAAATTTTAATAAAGTTCACTGCTTCCTCTTGACATGTATACAATTATAAAAGGTTAAACATAGACAAAGGTAACGTTGCATCGTATTTCAACACATATGCAATTAATGTTAACTAAACATCCAGCTAAATAACACTCGCTGTAATATTTTAAAAGTAACAGATCGCTTGTTTGAAAATGTAATGTTTCTACTCCACTGTTCGTTTGGTCACTACTGCAAAACCTCACCTCGGTGAGTTTAAGGTTGGGGTCAGTTTGTTCATACGGAAGTTTAAATGGAAGTTAGCCTGCGACAACAGTTGCAATTGAAATGGTACACATAAAAAATAGCCGTTGCTTTGATCATCCTGCTACATTAATTTGAATGGGAGTGTCAGTTATACTCTCATTCTGCTTCTATGGAAGTAAATTAGAGAAAGATTTATTCAGTAGTTTTTTAGTCAGTGGGCAGATTTTGCTAAAGTAAAGATAAAATTCAAATGAATATGATAATTTAATCTTAAATGGATTAAAAATTGAAAAGGTTTTTTTTTTTTTTTTTTTTTTTTAATCATTACTGCAAGTTCAGCTTTGTTCAGGACAATTATCATTCCCCTCCCGAACACCACAGCTTCACCAAACCAGAGGAAAAATTGCAGTGGTGATGGGCGTTGTGCAAAAAAAATGTCCACTGCTTGTTATTAAAATGTCTGACTTTGTTTTCTTCTTTTTTAATAAAGATTTGAGTATATATTTAACTTATCTTGCTCCTATTTACCTTACTGTGAACCTTGGTGAATGCTTAACTGCTCTTTTATTAATACAATTTCAACACCTGTCATCATCTGCCTGTGCTTTCCTGTATCTTACTTTTTGTCTCGTCCTGTTGCAGCCGCTTCGGCCAGTCCAACTCTCTCCCCACCGCTGGCTGTGTTGGGGGCACGGGGGGCGTGTCGGCCAGGAGGAGCCTTCGCCAGTTTCAGATGCCCTCCAGGAGCTTGCCAGGTGCCAGGCTGGGCCTGCTGGGCAGCGGGGGGCTGCTGGGACCCACACCTCGCAGCTCCAGCAGCACACCCACCGGTCCCAAGCAGGGGAGACAGGTGAGTGAAACCAGCAACCAGACAGGAGAGGTGAGCGTAAACCAGCAGGGAGAACAGGGAGTTAGATTACAGGGTGGACAGTATGGAGAGAGGTATGATGAGCCTTTCAGTGTCCAGAGAGTGTTCCTATTTAGTAGTTTTTCTTTACTATACATTAATGTATTCATTTTTTGTAACCACTTATCCTGTTGGGGGTCGCAGGGGGGCTGGAACCTATCCCAGCTGACATTGAGCGAGAGGCGGGGTTCACCCTGGACAGGTCGCAAGACTATCGCAGGGCTGACAAACAGAGAACATTCACGCTCACATTCACACCTACGGACATTTTAGAGTCACCAATTCACTTAGCCTGCATATCTTTGGACTGTGGGAGGAGTAGCGGTCATCTTGAGAGATTTTCAAACCTAATTAATATGCTCCATCAGTTTTATATTTAGTGTTATTACTTAATCTAGTATCAGTAGATGTGGTCAAAGACATGAGATGAGGCTGGATAGTTCAGATTATTTCCTAAAAGGCCTGTTAATTAAAATTCTCTTATTAAAAATGAGAGCTGAGCTAATGGTATCATGGTGTGTGAAGTGACTGGAATGCTGAATGGCAGTGGTGTTCGTGACTGCACAGAGGAAGATTTTGAAATGCGTAATAATACATTCCAGGATGTTTACAATGACCTGGGCAGCAGAATTCCTTCTTCAGCACGTATCCTGCCTGAAATAGACTTTTTATTCCATGACAAAAAAAATGTGGGGTGAGGATGAGGAGCAGCGGTGGTGTTTGGCGAATGAAGTGAGGTGGATGGAACTCGTAGGCAGGTCACCCCACATACCAGAGGCCCTGCGTCAGTGCCGAACACTGAAACAGGAGGAGCTGTGGAGCTGTTGCAGGCCCATCCTGGCACACTTTGGTCTGGGCTGACCCAGTTCATTGGAAACCTCTCTCCTTCTCTCTCTCTCTCTCTCATCCCTTACAATGGGAGGAAATACCTCAGTTCCTCCTCCTCACGCTGGACCTTCTTGTGTGGGACTGTAGTGTGGATGTGTAGAGAGAGAGAAAGAAGAAGGAGGAGGGTGGGAGGGAAATATATGAGTCATAGTTTGGGAGAGGTAGCTGTGGTGTTGGAGGAGGAGGGGCAACGAGAGAGTTTATATGAGTGTGTATGAGAGTGAGAGAGGCAGTGAGAACAGTGCACAGGCATTTCCTGTTTTTCCCTGGCCCGTGGCACTGAAGGGCTGCGAGGGGAGGTGTTGGGGGGGGCGGGTTGGTGGGGGGTTAGTGGTGTTGGGGGTATAATAGGCAGGTTACAGGGAGGAATTCATGTGGTGAGTGTCTGAGACTGTCATTAGGTGTGGGCCAGACATCCAGACAGGAGCGTGGGGAGAGAAAATGTTGAAGAAGCTGCGGCCTTGATCTTTCACCCAACTTCTTTCAAGCTTGCATATTTCATTTTCCTCTTTGATCAGTGAAAGTTTCAGCAATGTGTGAAAGCAGTGATGCAGGGAATGAATGTACGGAGGAGGATCTTTGAACATGAAATTTGTGCATCGAATAATGATATATTATTATGTTGTCCGTGGTACATTACAACTGTGTAACAATAGGCCTGTCACGATAATTGCTTTTGTTGGATGGTATATTGTCCCAGATATAATTGAAATTAAAGATACTATTGTCTTTGAGAAAGACGGGAAAAATGGTTACCCTTTTGTTATGTTCTCTAAGGTTTTAGATTTCCCACCTACTTGAGGTGTTGGACCTGCACTTGTATAGCGCCTTTCTAGTCATTTGACCGGTTAAAGCGCTTTTTACACTATGAGTCATGTTTACCCATTCACACGCTGGTGGCAGAGGACGGAAGCTGGGTGGTTTGCTGGTGGATATAAGGAGTGGAAGATGAAGTTGTTGGAGGGTTAAAAGTACAAACTATGGAGGTTTTGGCTTGTTGCTGGGGATGTGCAAGCTAGCGATTATCAGGACTGAGCCTCTTTCACTCTAAAATTGCAGCTGCAGGCTACTGGTAAAATAGGATGTGTCGTCTTTAATGTGTTGTTTTATTTTTCTTCGGACTTGTGCAAGAAGGTGAGGAAGGAAGAAAAAAAAGATGGTATTGCAGCGCTGAAGTCTTGTTATGATCTGGCATCATGTTGGCTAAAATGTTGGTGACATTCTTAATGTTAAACAAACAGGCATGTAAACACAACAGGCAATATTGAGGTCAAAAAAACGATTGACTTTATGTGTCCATATAGTACCATAAGTTGATAATGTAATCATCGTGACTGGTCTGTGTAACAAAAGTTAAAGTCTACATGCAGCCCAAAACTATATCGTGTTTAACTTTATTTGTTCATAAAGGAACATTCAACATACACCATGCACCCTAGAAAAATATTGATTTTGATGATGATTTCTGTTTTAGAAAAACAGAATTGGTCTTCAGTTTAAACAAAAGTTACATTTAAAAATAGAAAAGTTTAAAAGTCTCAGCTACATAATTTAGTGACTCCTTCAGGATAAGTTGATACATTTTACAATTGATATGTTGATATATTTTACAAATGTTATCAAGCAGAATTTGTATATTATTATTATATAGTTTAGTTCATTTTGAGAGCAGAAGCAGAAATTGTATGTCTTACTGTTCTGTCAGTGAACACTAGTGTTGAAGCATATTAATGACAGTAGTAGTAGTAATAGTCCTACAGAGATTGCATGTTCAAGAGGTTAATTTAATGCTGTTGTTTAAATATTCTCCTCAGGGTCTCTGGTTTGCCAACCCCGGAGGAAGCAACAGCATGCCCAGTCGGACCCACAGCTCCGTGCAGAGGACCCGCTCCCTGCCGGTTCACACCACACCACAAACCATGGTCATGTTCCAACAAGCAGGTAAGAATCATAGGAAAACATCCTCAGAGTTGTTTATTGTGACCAGTTTATACTTATAATCAGTGTTTTTTTTTATTCTCTATTTATTATCGACAAATTTTTGCTTCAACATCTGAAATGAGACACACCGCCGAAATTTGCAGTAACAGTTTTTCCCCCTTTAACACTTAAATCTTCTTTTAAAGGCAGTGATGTATCCCATAGTGTCTTACTGTCAATTTTAATTTATTTTTTCATCATCTTCTCTTTTTAAAATTCAGACCTGACAGTATTGGCATGTTTGGGCTGGGTTATGACCCATTTTGGTGTTCATTCAGTGGTTTTAGGTCTAAAAGTGTAAATATTTGAAATAAACATTAAATATTAAAGTCCTTGTCTCGTTTTACCTCAGACACACAAACCACTCTGCAGCTGACCTGTTCTGGTCAGATGAAAGTGTCAACCAAAGTGTTGAATTTCGACGGTTATATCGGTTACATCGGTTCTTATGAATTGACAATATTGGTCTTCATGCAAGACGAGGCATCATCTCAACATAAAATAAACAAAATTGCATCTAAACATGAGGAAGTCATCCTTGGTAATGGAGATCATTTTTAGCCTGGTCTCGCCCTGAAAGGCCCCAGCTCAGTGTTCACACAGGGTTGGGTCACGGTGACCATCGGCGCCAGGCTGAGTGACCTGTAGTAGCCTCTGCTGACTGGACTTTGTCCCACAGGAACAATGGACAGTAATAGGACAAGCTGGGACTTCCTCTGCTCTTGTCACACACACACACACATAGACACAAACACACACACACACACACACACACACACACACACTAGAAATGTTCTCTTTTTAGAATGAAGAGGAAAAACAGATTTTAAAAAAGCAGGAGGGAAGTTGGAGGGAGAGTGGAGACTGTATGTGAGAGAGGAAGAGATAGAGGCAGGGAGGGAGGAAAGAGTCAGAGGAGTCTTACAATGAGGCTCTTTGTGCAGCGAGGACATGGCTCCCTGGCCCACTTTCCTTCCCTTCCTTCTCTCCCTGACTCGTTCTCTTTCTTAACTTCCCCTCCCTCTTTCTCTCTCATCCCTCCATCTCTGCTTCTTAAACAACTCTGCAGAGTCATGCACTCATAGCAGTCACCCTCAAGGGTGGCTGTAGCTGGGTCTCGGCCAGAGCAACTGATTTGAAAGGCTAGACACCCCCCACACTTTCTTTCACACACACACACACACACACACACACACACACACACACACACACACACACACACTGACTGCACGTATGCGCGATCTTTCTTTCTCTCTGCCAACAGATGTATAAAGAGACTTATTAAGTGAGACACAGCAGAGAAAATGAGGGGATGAAGGAACAAGTGTGTGTATAGTTTACTTTAGTGTGTGTTTGTGTCGCTGTGAGTCTGTGTGTACGGGGGTGGAGGGATGTGGGGGGCGGATTTGGAGCCTATAAATAGTCCAGTGTGGACTACTGGGCCTAACTAAGCTTTTCTCTCTGGCCACAAGGGATTTTCACCGCCCGGCCTGTGTTGAAGACTCAGCTAAGGACTAAATGGCTGGAAGGGGTTGCTAGGCTGTACTGTGGCCCAAATACAACCCCCCACCTTTACCCCTCAACACACACACGCTCCCCTCTCAAACCTCAGCCCAACCCTCCACAAAACAGTCTCCACCTTGCTCACACTTTAGGCCGAGACAGCAACCAGCACCTAAGAGTTAGAGAAAAATAAAGGGGGCCTTAAAGTTATATTTTTGTGATGAGAATCCTTTGATAATATTATAGTTTTTCCAGTGTGTAGGATTGAGGGGGGTTTATTGGTAGAAATTAAACATAATGAGCTACCTTAAGTTACGTTATGGGTATACACTGTGCGATTTGGGGCTGTCCCAGACGAAAGATGACCATCGTGGGAGAAACAACGATGTCTTTGGTCGTGGCTCTAAAACAGTGGTCTTACGTCGCACTGTGAGGCAGGTTCAAGGACGGCCATTGTCAACGTCTTGCGACCAAAGATAACCTGAGATAAAATTTTGACGGTGTCAGAAATTTAGGATGACTATCTCACAGTGTGACAGCTGCTACGACCTACGTCTACTAATCAACCAATAGCAATGCAGCACGAAATGACGCAATGGTCACCGCGACACCGGCACTAAACCCAAACAAATGATCGCTTGCCGTGGAGGTAAAACGAACAAAAAGAAGTCTGTGGAACTCCCAGAAAGAGGAAAGTTTGGTGGAGCTGTGGCAGCAGAAGCCTTGTTTCTTTGATGTTTCCTCCTGCTGCATTGAAGGCAATTGTGGAGGAACTGCAACTTCCAGGTGAGCAAGCTACCTACGGTGGCGCAGATGGATGACGTACACTGATGCGGTGCGCGCTGATGACGTTGCATATTGACGCACGTCGTTACCTGCGATTCAGTAGTAAACAGCCATCGTACAATCTGCACACATCAAACTTGACGTCGTACCAAAGTATATTAGAACCACGTCTCACAGTGTGTCATGCAGTAGTCTTGTAAGATTGCTAAAATCGCACAGTGTATAGAGGGCCTTAGAGTGAGTTGTTTATATCTACATAGGGAGCGGGTCCTTGTATACGGAGCATGCTATGTTGCACTGCCATGTTTCTACAGTAGCCCAGAACAGTCAAACAGCCTCTAGACAGGGCCTTTCGCATCAGCCACCATAGTTAGAACTCTATCTGTGACAAGCAGTGTCGAAAAAATGTTGATTTATAACCTGTGGTGCGAGAGTTGCCCATCGCCAACATGCTGAACAACGTGGAGAAACACTCATTTGTATGTGAAATTGCTTTATTCAATGTTTATACTGTTTCAAATGACCGGAACCATTTCTTTTGGAGAGGAAGATACTTCTACAGATAATTTGGCTCATGGTAAAAACTCCTTAACGCCTGGATCAGAAATAAGGCGAGCACACTTTCAGTTATCAGGAAAAAAAGGATGAACGCACATTAGCATGGAGTATGCAAGCCACCCGTCTGCTACGTGCCAAAAAGCATCAGAGAAAAATTGATTTGTAAAGTGAAAATGCTTTATTTACTACTTTAATCACCTGGTTCATTTTGTTTTGAGGGAGAGACCTCTGCAGATAATTTGTCTCACTGTAAAAAAAAACCTCTTGAACAATAAACACTGAAGAAGTCCCAGCCAGGAGAAGCTTCAGCTTGTTGCAGTCTGCAGTCTTTGCGGTTAGTTGTCACTAAATCCCCCTCAATCTTACACCCTGAACCTTTAACATAATCCAAATAACGTTACTATTTATAAACTTGGAAGTGAGTAACTGTAGCAACAGGATGTGCAGTATGTCTGATAATTAAATCACTATACTGGTTTAATGATGTGAGGGCTGTAATTAGGGATTATTTTCAGAATTGATTAATCTGCCAGTTATTTTCTCAGTTAATTGCTTAGTCTGCGAAGTGTGAAGCTCAAGGTGACGTCTTAATACTGCTTATCTTGTCCAAAGACTATATAAATAATGGACATCACCCAATGGCTTGGGGACTCCCGTTTGCAAGGCTTGAGTTTGGCATTTGAACTGTCGCCATCTTGGAAATAGAGCCAAAAGTAACCATATTTTGACAAGAGGGCAGAGCTGTGGAGGAGTGAGGGCTGGATCTGACTCCTAAGCTCACTCACTCAAAGCACCGTTAAATATGCGTAACTTTAAGCCTTAATAAAATGTAAACGAGTGAGTTTAATAAAAATTGATCATGCATACAGTTGTCATGAAGGGGGAAATTAGTGATGGAGACCAAAACAAATTTTTGTACCAGATCGTAAACATGTTTATTTCTGCTGTAAAGTTGGGCATTTTAACTTGGGGGGTCTGTGGGGAGTGACATGCTTTTGGGGCCAGCCTGAAGTGGCCATTTGATGAACTGCAGTTTTTAGCATTTCCTTGCTGGCTTCATTCTTTAGCCAAGGTTGCTGCTTGGTTAATGTTTAACCCACAGTCAAAAACAAAACGATATTCAGCTTTACATTAAATAAAAAAACTAATCCTCCTACAGTGTTTTGTTTCTAAACAGTGCTACTTGAACACACCATACAGTATTATCAGTTTTTAAATGCAAAAGTATGTGTTTACTAGGAGGACTTTAAGACAGAGATGACAGTTAGAGGGAGAGATTATCATAGTAATATTTCATATTACCATGCAGTTAAAAGCAAAAAATATCACTTACATTTCATGTTATTTTGAATTAGTGAATTTAATTTTGTCCTCAATCTAGTCTCCACACCTTCACACACACACACACACACACACACACACACACAGTCACTCAAAGTGACAAAAGACGCCATGCCCCTGCAGTCATTGTTTTGATGTAGCATGTGTCTCAGTGCTGGGGTTAACAGTGTGGTATAATCTGATTATTGAGGCTGCACTCTGGTTGAGTGGACGGCATTGTCCCAGTGGACTGATCTGAATTCATTTCTCTGCTTCTTTGCCAACTTGTCATCTGACGCCAATTTATTAAAACAAATAAGGCAAGAAAAGAAGTTTGAGCATTATTATGATTCCGTTTGATTTTGATCAAAGGCCTCTGACTCAGATGTGTGAAGTCATTAAATAAATTTTATGCAGCTTGTCAAAACATGAGAAACTATTTGGCACTGATATTGTACATAATTTCCTTCTTCTGAGAGGATCAACCATACCTGCTGTGACCCTCATCACCAGGACATTTTATTCACATTATCTGTTTGATATGACTATAATTTAATCACTGATGTTTTTGTTCCTGTACAGATCTTCAGTTACCGGTGACAGAGCCAGACATCAACAATCGCCTTGAGTCTCTGTGTCTGAGTATGACAGAGCATGCCTTGGCAGGTAAGGCACAGTTTTTAATTAATCCTAATAATTATTCCATTAAACGTAAGAATCAAAGATACAGTTGCTCCAGAAATTAAGCATGGTTCAGGAGCATGCAGTGCAGCCCTCCTGTCAGTCAGTCTCGCTCTTACATTACATGAACACTATACTGCCTTTGGACATATTCAGGATGTGATGTTTAAGTGGATCATGGAGTAATGTGGTTATTCAAATCCCTATGTACATGATTATCATATCAACCAGGTTTCTGATGACTGTCTGGCAGTGATGTTCACTGCAGATATCATTGTCTGTCTTCTCTGCACCGGCTGAATTATCTCAGCTGTTGAGAATGAATCCACTTCGGTTTCTGCAGTGGCGCTGTTTGATTTTAAAGCTGTTTTGTGCATTTGATTTCTTTATTTTGTCGTCAAGAATGAAAGACGAGAATTATGAACAAAAACAAGCGTATATCCCCATACTGGGCTAGACAATATATTGATATGTGAGACTAGATATCACCATAGATTGAAGATATCTGTGTTTTTGGCTGGTTTTAAAGGCAGCATTACATTGATTTTCAATCTATTATGGTGATTTTTTTTCCACCCATTTTTTATATATAATATGTGACATACTAGTATATGAATTGACCCTTCACTAAATCCCGCCCCCGGACGCAGACTAGCCAGTCATAACGTAGCATCGGGCCAGCTCCGACCAGGGTCCGACAACAACACAGCTAATGCAATCTAATGCAATCGTTTCAGATTTCCTTCATTTGCAGGCTGGTTTTGCAGATTTGGAGCTAAATGTTGTGCCTGGGGCACGTCGTGTATTAATGATACTTGTTACCTGGAGAGGTTGGAAAAAGATATACATTTCTTCCCTGTTCCAAAACCAAAATCAAACCCTGAAAAGTGTAGGGTTAGCTAGCTAGCTACTGAAAATGTAGCCTACTGAATGTATACACATGCTGCTTTTGCTTTGTAGTGATTATAACAGTGAAACAAAGACCGACGCTGCTGTACAGGAACCAGTGAAGGGAAGCAGGGAAACTTTGCTGATATTCAACCAGCTGTGTGTCATCACATTGTGCACAGATGAACGTTGTTTGACTTCCCCCGGAGATTCCTGCCTGTCTGGCGGCAGAGGTCCAGGTGCTGGCAGCAGCACGGGGGCAAAGCCAAACACCGTTCATCTGCACACTGCGATGCCACACAGCTGGTTCAATATCAGCAAAGTTTCCCTTTATATTCATTGTCTTGTGTGGCGATCAGCAGTGATGTGGTGGTTCACTTTTACACTGTGATCTGTAGCCTATAGTTCGGCTTTAGCTTCTAACTATCTTTGTCTTTTTAACCTGTTGTTGCTGTTGAGTCAGTTTGACATCCTGGATATATCCTTCAAACACAGACTGTAGACCCCTCTGTCTGCTTCTCTCTGGAATCACTGTTTCATTTGTCCAAAAATAAGATAATATTTCTTCAGGGAGTGCAGTTAGTTAGTCCAACAGCTTGTCAGCCCATCACAAAGGGGCGGGGCTTAGCGAAAGTTCAATTAGCATCAATATTAAGTAAAAGACCTATTTTAGTCAGTCAGACAAAGAAATAGAAACTTAGCTAAACCATAAATTGAAACCTCAATGCCTTGATTCTGTTTTTTATTAACCTCTGGTAGTCACTTGAGGTACTCATTATCTTGGCCGACTAAAGAGGCATGTTTTGTCTCCTAAATTCTTTGGCACAATTGCCACATTTGACACATTTTCCCTCTTCAACCACATGGCTCACAGAATACAGCTGATTTCAGCTCTGACGGTCATCCAGTCATAGCCACAACATTGTTAAAAATGCACAATATAAAGTTTCTAAAAACTCTTGTGGCACTCTTGGCTTGTCCTCAAGTCACCCCAGTTCTTATTAATTCAAATGTTGTATCACAATGTTTAGGTAGAGCTGTTGTTGGCAGCACTGCATAGGTAGCTGACAGCCTCCAGAAACATTGTATAGAGTTTATATGGCGCAGTATCGTCTTGTGTTTTTAAAATAACCCAGCTTGCATACTCTGGTCTTACAGGCTTATCTGAGTATAACTTTGACATATCCAAACATAAACATGTAAGCAGGACACCATTCCTACAGCTTCAGTCATGGAAGCTTCTCTAAAGGCCAGCAGTTGGATCTGACTCGACCAGAACTTGTGTTATGTTTAAAGCCAAATGCAAACACCAAAGTGTCCAAAACTCACATCAGCCAGTGAGTTGATGAGCCAACGGTCAGGCCAGGTCACTTCTCTTGATCTTGACACTGATCTGACTGGTCCATTCCAGCACTCAGTCAATTATCCTGCTGTGTGAACAGATTAAAGCCTCGAGATTTTGGCTCATCGATAACTCCAGACTGGTTGGAGCCCAACGAACGGTTTTCAGATGTGTCGTATTTGTTGGTCCAGTCTGGTCAAATAGGTCCAAAACTCACCAAGTTTGAAATCTGACAGTGATTCTGTCAAAAGCCGAGATGAGTTCAGCTCAGGAGGGAAATAAAATGGGAGGAGTCAGAGAAAAAACCTAAATACAACTATTAAAAATTGAACTTTTGAAAACTATTTGATTTTTGTAAAGACTGGTTTAATGTTTAGTTTGGACTAGCTCTTGGGAAATGATGTGCCATTGTTAATCTCAGACGTGTTGTTATAAGATCTGATAAGGACACCAAATAAGACAGATTATTCACTTGATGAGATAGAAGCATTTTTTTGGCATTTGGTATGGATGGGAAACATAATTAAATGACTTAAAAGTCATTAAAAGCACTTGCACGTTTAAATCTGTCAGCATTATACTGTAGTGGACATCAGTCAAGTCAGTCAGTAGGTGACCTGGCTCGTGCAGAATATTCCCATGTACAGTGAATTTCAGTCTGGGTTAAAGTCAGTGCCAACTCCCCCCATCCCAAAACTCGTCTGAGGTGAAGACAGTGGGCCTCAGTGCTCTGCGCAGAACGGTGGACAAGTGCTGCTTTGTGTGTGTGTGTGTGTGTGTGTGTGTGTGTGTGTGTGTTAGGAATAGGTTGTGTGTTAGGTGGAGAGCAGAACGAAAGAGTGCATTTAACTGGAGAAACTCCTTAATCAGAGTTTCGCCTTTTTCTATTCTCGCACCCAAACACCCAGCCGGCTGTGGCAAGCTTCAGAAACATAACTTGGTAACTGAATCTGAACCAGCTACAGGAAAGGACCCAAAACACAATGTTTTATGGGTATAAGGAATAGACGTTGACATTTTTATACAGTATAGTCTGTATTTTGCTCAGTTATTCAACAAGAGCTCACAGTGACATTAACCTGCCCTCTCACTATCATGATGGAATAAAATTGTCCACTCGTGTGTAGTTTGATAACATTTTCCTCTTCAGCCACACCAGAGGCAACAGCTGTCAGACTGTTGTTTTCCTCTGAAAGGCTCTATCAGTATTTTTACAGATGTGTTGTTCTCTCACCATGTCAGTGTGGGCTCTGGCCCCTCACTGTTCACCAAGTCAGAAAACGCTTCAGGCCTTCTCTACAAACAGCTGATCACTACTAGTCTTCAAATCGCATGAGATTTTATTTATAAAGTGCTTATAATAATGACTCTGTTGCCCAAAGAGCATTAGAAACATGGTTAGGAAAAATGTAGTCAGTCATTAAGAAGAAGGCTAAGATGACTTAAGAGCAGTCGACAGGGAATTACAGTTAATAAATGTGAGAAGTAAAATGAATGACAAATGTGGTTGAAATTGCTTCTTTTTTTTTTTTTAAATAAACCTTATAGCAAGTTTGGAGGAGTAGCAGGGAATCTGTTCTGAAGACAGATGGGCATAAAAGCTAAATGCTGCCTCTCTCTCTGTAGTTAAAAAGAACTCCTTAAAAACCCGAGGATGGTGCCTAACGTCCAGCATCACACAGTGTTCTCATCAGTGCACATTGGGTCATCATGGCACTTTCTGGATACACTAGTAAAACCATAATGTAAAAACTAACCTTATTTTTGCCTCAACACCAAGATTAAACCTGCAGGAGGCCTCATGCTTAACTGTAACTTCAGAGATGAGTTTTTGATTATCAATTTACTCCTAGATTTTTGCTCCTTGTACTGCTGGTACGGCTGCAACTGTGACTAACTTTAGACTTCCCTGCAGATTTTATATAACTGTTACCTGACCTCCAATAAATTCTCGAATTGAGCATCATAACGTTTCCTGGAAAATATTTACAAATAAATAGAGCTAAAATATATTGACATAGAGATAGGGTGAGGAGCTCAGACATGCGGAGGGAGCTCAGAGTTGAGCTGCTGCTCCTTTGTGTCAAAAAGGGCCAGTTGAGGTGGTGCAAACTTCTGATCAGGTTTCCTCCTGGGCGCCTCCCGTTAGAGCGTTAAGGCCCAGACACACCAAACCGTCATCAACAAACTAGCGGCGAACAAAAACCAACTACAGCCACCAGCCAACAAGCAGGTACTGTCTATGCCTGCGTGAGAGGAAGTAACTCTATATCAGCAGACAGTAGTAGTCTGTATTTGTTCTTCAAAAAGAAAAACCGTAAGACCGTCTTGATGCTAGTTAGGCATTTAGGGCATTAACAACACAATCAAATGTTAAAAGAACAAAACATATTTACCGTGCAGCAGTGAACAACACAAACCATTACTAAATGATTCTGCTAGATAGCTTAATAGCCAAAGAAATATAATCGTATCTTATAAAACAGGTTAGTTTTTGATCTCACTCCCTCTTGACTTTAGCTGTTTGTTTACTTTCCTCACTTCTGTTTCTCTTCTCGTGTTTTGAGCTGCACCACCAATCAGAGTGATTTCATTCACTGACGAGCTCCGCTGTCTCCTATGCCGATTGAACATGCTGAATCAGCTGAAAAAAACACTGACCATGGCCAACGCTGGGGGACATGCCACAAAAAGTAGGGCGACGACACTTACCAACCACCCAACATTGACAGACGGCAAACTGTCGACTTATTGTGTCAGGGCCTGTAGAGATTCTCCGAGCATGTCCAACTGGTAGGAGGCCCCAAGGCAGACCCAGAACACACTGGAGGGATTATATATCTCATCTGGCCTGGGAACACCTCGGGATCCCCCAGGACAAGTGGAAAAGCATTGCTGGGGAGTGGGGTGTCTGAAGTACCTTTCTCAGCCTGCTGCCCCCGCAATATGACCCCGAGTGAGCAGTTGAAAATGGATGGATGGATATATTGACATTTGGATGGGTTAAATTATGTCCACTCACAAAAATCTACTCAGATGGGATGGGGGGTATCTTGCAGCCCAAACAGGCTTATAAGGCAGTCTGTTATAGGCGTGAAACCAAATATACAAATAGAAAAAAATCAATAGTACATTCTGTATGCCTTCATACTTGTGGCATGTTTTATTCAGTATAGTTTGCCTAACTTTCTGAGCTTTAGAAATAAAATGAGCCGATACTTTGCCACTCAGTCCAACTTCTCATTTTCATCAGCCAAAACAATTCAGGATTTTTGTTTTGCATTGTTACAAAGGTGTACACAGGTTTACATGTAAAGTATGAATGTGCAGTCAGAGCACAGGCTTAGGCAGTCAGGGAGCTCGCCGGACAGTGCTATGATGCAAAAACCACGCCAATCTGGGTTTAGGATATACTGTAGTTGTAGAGCAAAATAGACACAAGATCTGAAATCCATCCCTGGATCCGTTTTTTTCTTTTCAGGGTTACAAAAAAGCACCAGGTGAAAGACATAGTAGCAGTGAGGGTTAGTGTTAGGAGCTTGAGGACTCATGGCTGTATCTTACTGTTCACTGTTAGATTTTATCTTCATCAGAACCCCTGAAACTACATCCCCACTGTGTTAACCCTAACTCTGTCTGAGGATGCTGATGAAGCTAAACTCTGATGCCTTTTCTTCTCTGCTCTAGACGGTGCCGACCGCACATCAACAATATGAAATGAGGACCTGAGTGAGAGCAGTAGGACAGCGCGGGTTCACGAGGCTCTCTCATGATAAGTCACCTCGAGGTCACCAGCCCTCCTGTCCCCTCTCCCTGTAGCCAATGGTAGAGCTCAACCAAAGGATCGGGGCAGGATCCAAGAAACACAAGAGAGCCGACCACCAAACGGCTAACACAAGCTATCACATTGGCACCGTCCATCGGGTCGGAAAAACACACTTCCTGCTCCACCAGCATGCTCACAGTCACCTGCATCTGGGTAAGGAGAGAGAAAAGCATTGAACACGGCCTGGACAGTGTGTGAACAGCGCCCCCTCCCTAACCGGGGAGGACAGAAGCAGCACTGCAGCCCAGCAGAAGGGAGACGGCCTGTGGATCAGGGCCCAGTGAGACTGAGGCCCTTTCCCTCTCCGACACCCTCTGGTCCCCGCACATCGACCACCGCTCGTGGCATCTTTCAAATCCATAACAGTACCTCAGACCCAAAAACAAGACGAGACAAGCAGTTAGAGGGAGGCAGAAGGAAGTTTGGGATTTCCTTGAGTGTTTTCAGCGAGGACTGGGCGTCCAGCGAGGACGCTTGTAGAGCTCGGGATGCCTCTTGCTCAGTATTGGGTGGCAAAAAAAAATCATTTATTTGTATTGTATGTATTTATTGTTTACATAATGATGCTACTTTCAAAGGGTACAGAAACATGTATGAATTTCAGGTATGAATTGTGTAATCTGTAAAGCCTTGGCTGTCTACCAGCTTTACGTCCCACGAGTAGCCATCACGCTAGTTTACAACCAACGTGCTTATTCTTTATTTTAGCAGCCAACAATGAAGAGGTGTTGGCTTTACCAAGAGAGAGGAGAGTGACAGAGAGGAGGAGGAGGTAGAGCAGACGTGTGAAGAGGGGTCAGAGGGAGGAAGTGGAGAAAGACACAGAAAGTAGACGAAGAAAGAATCAAACTGAGGTGATACCGGAAAGGGAAGCGGATGTTTAAAGGAGAAAGACATCAGAGGCAGGACCTTTGATCAGCCGAAGATGACAGAGGAAGATGATGTCATGTCTGATCATGTTGCGAGTCTGTTCATGTGAGTGAGTGTAGGAGGAAGTGAGTTACGCACCGGTCAGTTACATATTGTTTATCCACAGCATGTACTGTATGAACTCTTTGAATTCAGAGCCTTTGTAGGCACGATACATTGAAAATGTAGGGGTTTTTTTATACACGTAAATGGGAGATTTATGTCGTCAGTGGGATCTGTCTGCATGTTCAGATACTGGGTTTAGTTATGTTTTTTCTAAAGCAGGGTGATATGCTAAAGCTGCATGTTACAACTAAATATCTTTCTTGGAGGAAAGGAAGATTGTGAAATGTGTGAAAGATGGCAGGAAAAAAAAAACAGGAGGTCGATCTGGTTTCCACTCGGACCGTGTTGCAACATTGGAGAAATCACACACTGTCAATCCATGAAGGGTAGTTTTCCCAGAGATTGTCTCATTAGCTCTTACCTCCACCTGCTGGCCAAACACAGTCATGGCAGGGCAGACGCTGAAGTCCATGGACACACAGGCGGATCATTGAAAAATCATTTATGAGTATTATTTGGGGAGCTCTCAAAGATCACCCCTGTAACATGGTCTTCTGTCTGCCCCGTCAGTGCAGGCCTACATGGAATTTATTTTCTGAATCTCATGGTTATTCTGTGTCTTAATATTTATCCTCAGTTTATTGTGTCTGGGATACAGACTTTATAAGAAAAGATGTATATCGAAATAAGCTGGTTAGGAAACTCCCCGCTGTGCTGCTTTCATCTGAGCACGTGTGCCGAGAGTCCTGACTCTGAGCAGTCATCATCGAGGGTTATTGATTATTATTGTTTAGTTTCTTTCATTAGTTTGTTGCAATTCTATAGTGCTTCCTTTTGTATCCTGCACTTAATGAGATAATGTGATACACTAAAATCCAAATGTTCAAGGCTCAAGCGACGGTTTTGTGCTTTGGAGTCGGATCAAACGGAGCAGGTTGAAGAGATGAGACTGACGCTGGCTCTCGACTGCAGAGCTTCAGCGTCGGTGGACGGACTAGAGTCAAGCGGTAGAATCACGACAGGTGGCGATGCGAGACAGCTCCTGACGCCTCTCATTGACCTGAAATGATTTCTGTTTGACTGATGGTGAGATGTTGGAGTTGAGAACACTTTTCTGTTATCATGTCATACACAGTTTAAGGACCACACCGGTGTTTGTGCATGTTTTAGCCCATTTACTACAATCTCACAGCCAGCTATTTTTATCTTATCTATCTCTAGACAAGCTTCCAGTAATTTTGTCATGGTATTAAAATGAACTGGTATGGTCAGAACATCTCCTAGAAATGTTAATCCATCACAGCAACCTTTCTTTAACTTGTTTGATTGGGTTTTTTGGGGCATTTTGCCTTTATTTGATAGTGAAAGCTGTAGAGAGACAGGAAACGCAGGGTACAGAGCTGCAATCGAACCCATGCCATTGCAGTATGGACTAAACCTTAATGGTATGAGCTATTCTACATGAGCTACTGGGGCGCCCTGTAGTGCAGCCTTTTTAAAAGATCTGCACCTACAGATGAATAACTGTATTTTAATTTGGGAAGCTAGCTTCTCAAGCAAGCTTCAGGTTTGTGCAACCTCAGTTTCGTACCATAACAGAAACCACTGGCTGCCTACAAGCCTGGACAAACATAGAATCTATATAACACTACAGTTCTCTTTAAAAACAGACAGCAGTGATGCATTCAGTGTGTGATCTATATTAAAGGGACTAAAACATGCAGAAATCTATGATGGTGCCTTATTGTGACACCTGGAGCCCAAACTGCCTTATGACTGGCTGCATGTGGCTTCAGACTCAATGATGGCAGCTTGAAACTGCAGTGTGGATCAGTACACACACACCACAGATAAAGTGTGTGTCGTTCGTGACGTTTTCTGCTCTTATACTTTGAGTGTATAAGAGCCAAGCAGACGTCGTGCGTACGTTTGTGAATGAAGATGAAGATTCCACCAAAGCCTGAATGTGACATGAACTGATGTTACACCTTTAAACGTCTTTTTTTTTTCTGATGCTCCTCGCTGAGAAGCAGCATCGTGTCTAATCATAGACTGTTTCAGTGTCACTGCCATATGAATCAGTACTTAAAGTAGATACAATTATTTATTCTTTTTTTTTTTTTTTTTTTTTTTTTCATAATTTTTGCAGAGGTGATACTTTTACTCATTTAGGTGTATTATTATTTAAAGTACCATATGTATTAACATGTTATGGCTGGTGACCATACGTACATCTCAAATATTAACATAGTTATTGTTGACTTTGTTTTTCTTTTTATGTTTTGTTGTTGCTGTTGTTGAACTATAATCGTGTTTGTATCTATCAGTGTCATGTTGAGATTTTTTTTTTTTTTTCTCTTGTGAAGCTTCGCTGTCGGAGCACAGCCGAGAGCAGCAGCCGGTCCGTCACAGATACATCGAGTCATGTTCGGTTACAGAATTCACGTCAGAGGAGGTGTCAGCAAACAAAACGGCGGGGTTGTTGTTGTAGTCTGTGGCAGGCCAGGAAGTAGACTGTCCATACTGATCTGGAGTCTGAACTTGGTGCTGTGGGTGTGTTACCACCTAACTGTATGGTCCTGATGGGAGAGGTGGCGACTGCAGGTTTGAATGTGTGTTAGTTTAAAGAATGAGACTGGCATTAGTTATATTTTTCTTACTGTCAACAAATTCCACGAAAAGACCAAATTCAACAGTGTGTTAGTCCGTCTGTCGATACGATAAGTCTTTACAAGTGCAAATGTTTAGTTTGCAAGCACCGTGCACCAAGCAGGAGGAAACAGTGCCTTTGTTGGGGACTATTTTCAGTGGTGGATTAATCCACATTTGAGGCGGTAGTGAGGATATGTGTCAGCAGGACGGTGTGGGTTCGTGGTAATGAAGGAACATGTCACTCAGTGCAGAGGTGTGTCTCACTGATGTGTCTTTGGGACAAAGATGGAGGTCTATGGCACAGAAGAAAATGATATATGAGGATTATATACATAAACATTATTTGTTAAATACATTTTGGTTTTGGTCTTTCTATGGAATTTGTTTACATCGAGAAAAATCTAGACTATGATCAGACTTATCTTTCAAACACAAACCTGCAGTCAGTGATGTAATCAAAGGGATTATTGAAACTGTAGTATTTTTGCCGCATTGTTATTTACGTTCATATCACTTTGCCATGTTTGAGTTATAAAGGTCTTGACACAAAGGTTCAGGAGATTTCTTTCAGTATTGCATAAAAACATTAGCTCTAGTCTGTGACTGACGGCGTTTGAATAACCTGAAGTTTATGTGATTTTTCTCAGTGACGTAGCAGAGCAGAGTCACATGTTTGAGTTCAAAACAACGCAACAGGCCTCCAGTTTCCTGCAGCATCTCTGGGTCAAAGAGACATCCGTGTGAACACAGAACATACCTGTGACGGGGCAGTGGAAGGTTACAGCTCTGAGGTCTGGATTGTTACACATCTCTTCAAACCAAATGCTTTATTTTTTTTTTGTGTGTGTGTTTTTTTGTTTTTTTTTTCTAAATGCATATCAGCTCTGTGGGTGTCCAGGAGTGCTTCTAACGCTGTGCACACTGCAGTATTAACAGTTAGATAACGCCTTGATATTCCAAAAAAACATTTAATGTACTTTAAGTCGAGACATATATGCTGTTTTGTATCTTTTATTTTTGTCATAGATTCTGCAGTTTAGTCAGTTTATGTCGATATGGGATGCCAAGACTATTTTTTTTGTTTTGTTTTGTTTTTGTAAATTCCGCAGCATCCATTCTGTAACAAAGTGTTACCGCTTGACTGTGCTCCTTTATTTCATTTAGTTTTATTTTATCAAAGAGCCGATGTCCTGTATTGACTGCAGGCTTACGTATATATTTGACAAAAGAATATTGTATGTTTAATAATAAAAAAACACAAAAAAGACAAAAAATTGAAGAAAATGCAGAAAAAAGAAAAGGAGAAAATTTGGGGTGGGGGGGGTTAAAAAAAAAAGTGTAATTTATATTTTAAAAACTGCATGCACAAGGCTGGGAAAGTCATATTTAGAATAACAAATGGCAGTGCCTTTTTTGTACTCGAGACATTCACCCCAAATGTAAATGGTTTTATATAGACTCTAAAGACTGTAATGTTACAGGATGAAACAGCTGTGTCGGGTCACGTTCACACTGCGGCCACAGGCGTCCTAATTCAGATTCCAACCCAAACCCCCCAACCAAACTGTCCCTGCCCTCAAAACTGATCACTGTGTAAGATATATTCACTTGTGTTTGATACAGTTGACGTCCACGGAGGACAAAAAAACTAAAGATCATTAATTTAGTTTGTATTTGTGGAGACTCTCTAAATTTAGCTGCAGCCTGCAACATCATCCCACAGTGATTGTTAAGTCCTTATTTGGGATGATCATTGACAAATATAGAGCCACGTCTAACAGTTATTATCATCATTAATTAATCTGCTGATAATAATTAATCCTTTGCCCTATAAAAGATAAAAAAATAGTGTGAAATGTCTGTCAGGTGATGTCTTTTATTGAACAACTGTCCAATATAAGACAAGAAAAAGCAGCAGATCCTCACATTGGAGAAGCTGAAAGCAAGCAAGTTCAAGTTTAAGTCATTTTCAAAAGAAACTTACATGTATTTTAGCTGCTAAACCTTTGCAGTCACTAATTAAAGCAGCTTCATATCTGATTTCTGCTGCTTTCAAAGACTAAACGTGAACATTCAAACACAAAGTTTAATCTGAATTGAGCGTCGAGGCGTGTGGTTTGAACGAGGCCTGCGGCGGTGAACTCGGTCTGTTGTTTCTGTACTCTATAGGTACTTCTTAATGCTGATATGAAGTTATGAATTATTCTGGTCTGTACAAAAAATGTGTGAATGAGTGTGTGAGTGAGTGAGTGAGTGAGTGTGTGAAAACATTCAAGTGTTTTTCAATGTGTCTTGCTGTAATTTTGTGGCGACGTACCAGAATGCTGTGACTTGGCATGCCCCCGTTATACATAAAGAAAAGTTGTAACTCCTCCAGTGTGTCTCTGTGTGTGTCTGTGTGTGTGTGCGATTCAAAGTTAGTCGGTAAAACAGGATTCAAGCAGGCTTCGACAGCCTTGACAGTTTTTATTTTATCTTTTTTAGATTAAAATGTTGCACTTAATTCAGTTGTGGGAGATCAACAGATTTCACTTCAATGCCTTTGTTTCACATCATGGGAAAGAAAACCTGCAATTGAAGTCGCACCTTAAAAAATATTTGGAGGCCCTGAATTGTAACTAAACCAACTTTAATGAAAACCTTGCTCAGATCTAATAATCATTAGCCATTACAACAGAATACTTCAGACACAAACACACTTTAAAATTTTTGTTAAACTGCTTATTTAGTCTAGAGAGTTGAACACACTCTTTACATGGTGAAGCAGATTGAGACCCAGAGCCTCACTGCTGCTGTGAGATGATGGTAAACTAAATGCATGAACCTGATGTTACAAAACCATAAAGCTCGAGCTGCTGAGTCATGCCTCTGTCAGACATCCAGCTCATCTGCTCCACCTCTCTGCTGTTCACTCTGGGCTCAGGGCCAGATTAACCCTATAATTGGCCCCGGGGCTAAAACCAGCTGTGGGCCCCACTTTTGGAACCAGTTTTGTCTTCTCCCACTTTTAGTTTATGGTTTTCTACATTTTCCAGAGTGCGTTTCAGAAGGCTGCATGGCTCCAGAGTTAAGAGGTTTGAGCACCAACCTTCAGTCAGCAGGTACGAAGGTAACATCATCCTCTTCTTTTTCGTTAAAGGATAGAGACGCTATTTTCAACATAAACACAAACAGGAAACTTCTTACCTGCTGAAAGACCAACTTCATGAACACTGGCACCATGTTACAGCTCAGTGCTCACCAGAAGAGTAAAGGTAGATTAAAATGCGTTGAAAATCTGAGACAACCCCTCCTCTCCACTAGGTGTGCCGGTTTTCCTGGCTGCTCTTTATCTTTCAGGATGCGGGTCAAGGAGGAGGGTCGTCAATTACCTCATGAGCCACACCTGGGCCAGTGTGCTTCATGATATAAACGCTTACCACCTTCCAGCAGACATCTTCTTCCCTTTTTCTTTTGCTTTCTCTACAGACATTTCCACACATGCAGACATGACTGATTACTTTCACATTTATTCGGTTATTAAACATTATTTTGAAAATAAATAAGCTTGTAACTCTTTGTAAACTTGTCCCATCTCCCATTCTTGTTGCAGCCTAAGAGCCAGGTTGTAACAATTAGCATCAAAATATCCCTAAAGCACCAAAAGTAAAAGTGCTTGTGCAGAATGATCCATTTCAGAATATTATATCACTCAATGATGAATTAATGTGTTCATCATTGAGTGATATAATATTCTGAAATGGACAGCTGGAAAGAAGGGGCTTACTTTAACTACTTATTATGATGCTAGGTAGCTTATTCTTATCTTAACGGGACAGTACACCCCCAAATCAAACATACTTCCTCTTACCTGTAGTGCTTTTTATCAGTCTAGATTTCTTTGTTGAGTTGCTGAGTGTTGGAGATATCAGCTGTAGAGATGTCTGCCTTCTCTTCAATGTAGATGAACTAGATGATATTTACATTTGAAAAACTCAACAGCAATGTCTCTGTCCAGAAATCATGACCCGGTTACTCAAAATAATCCACAGACCTTGTTGGGAACAGTTTCATGTAGGAACTATTTTTTTCTACTGAAGACCTCCTGTCTATCTTTGTAAGCTCAGTGGAAACTAAGCTTTTATTTACTTTAATTTGACAGATAAGAAACAATAAATTGTCAAGACAATTTAGCCTCGACAAAATAGCATTTTCAAATCTCTACTAGTCGCTAGGCTAATTCATACAATGTAAAATGCCGTAAGCTTGTGCTAATAACATTAGCATGCTATCTTTGTTTGGAAAACGTGTTTAGTATAAGACAGTTGTTTTGTCAGTGAGCCTCGTGAGTTGTAATGGAACATAATTTTGTAACGTTACCTTTGTTAAATGTTGCTGTTGTCTCTGGCTTCATATGAATAGAGGAAATCTCCGCTTGTTGCTAGGCTAATTTCTACAATGTAAAATGCCATAGGCTTGTGTTAATAACGTTAGCATTTTGTATTTATTGGGAGACAAATGCTTTGTCTGTGAATGAGTTATAGTGAAGCTGATTTTTGTACTTGTTATTGAAACTGTCACTATTAAGCCATGTTTAATGTGTGTTTAGAATTAACTTAACTTTACAGCACTTCACAGAAACCCTGCAGCTAGCCAAGGTTAGCTAGCCCAGTGAGCTAGCGTAGGGTGCACGCTTCTTTCTCTGCGGTAATATGGTTGGCCCATATTTATGTTTATGGTTATGCAGCGGCCTTTAGTGGCATTACTGATACAACAGGAGCAATGGAGGGAGTCAGGTGACATAGTATAAAGAGCATAACTAAAACACATTACGAACACCAAGAGCCTTCACTAATTCAACGCTTCTGACAAAGTCGATGTAAAGCTCTATTTTTTTGTACCATTTTTGTTAAGAAAAAGCACAAGAAACATGAACAGTTGGGGTGGGACGGAGGATAGGTGGATGGGTCAAACAAACACAGGACTGTCATCCAGGAGACCAGTGTTTGTGTCCCATGTAAAACCAAAAGTCAATATTTCAATAAGGTAACGTATTATGTTACATGACATTCATACATGACAAACAACACGAGACGCATCATGTTACATTAATAACAACTTTTTTAAGCCAAATTAGGACTTGCTTGGAGACCAATAACAAAACAAACATGTATTTAGGTAAAAATTCCAAGTCAACATCACAAGATGTGTTTTTTTTATTTGGTGGAAGTATTTTTAAATCAAAGGTGAAACAACACTGCCCCCCATAGCTCATCTGGTTGAGTGATAGCCCCACGAACAAAGGTTGTGTCCTTAATACAGCGGGTTTGATTAAAGGCAAGGTTTGATTATGTCCCTGATACTGGTTCTGAACGTGTGCTCACTAACATGTTTATACTGTGATCACGTCAGGCTTTTTAGCTGTAGAGTCTGAAATATCTGGAATTTCTGATAGATTTCGAAAACACCTACTGAAGTGTCAACAAATTACCGTCAAAGCCACTATTGCTAACATTGTATGGAAATCTTAACATTTGTAATACAACAAAAATGCTAACGCAGTGTGGGGGCAGCCATCTTGGAGTGAGTCAGGATAACAGGAGTCAGTTTTAAATGAAGTGAGGATACATGTCATTCATGTGTGCTGTGAAGAAACAGTCAGAAACACTCGGTCATCGTTGTCACATAGAGTTTTATTTTCTTTGATTAAAAAGTATCTGAAATGAAAACAGTACATAAAGTGACAATGATGGTGAAGAGGCCAAACAACAGGCCGTCCTTCTCAACAAGGCCACAAAAACAACATCATCAGAGCCGTTTGTCAGTGTTCATCTTCCCTCCAACACACACACACACACACACACACACATAACTCCCATCAGCACATTTCACAAGTTAAAACCTCCCAAAATCTGTCTGGGGACATTATGCAAAAAAAAAAAAAAATGCTACACGAGTAACACAAAGTCACTAAACAACACACACACACTTATCTCCACACTGTTCATCTGCTGGGATGAAAACTGTGAGGAACACACACACATTAACATACACACACACACACATACACACATTTAATTTGCCTCTCATGGAAATAAAAAGAATCAGTTTGTTTTCAGACGGTGAGTCTGCAGCTCAGCATCTCTCCGGCTGCCTCGTCACGTCACTGTGAAGTCATCTTTTGGTTTTAATTGAGAGGCGAGTTGGCACGTACAGGCAGACCCTCGCTCAGGATCTTATAACAATATTAATAATAATAAGATGCTAAATACTGTTTATTCTCAGATGCGTTTTGCTTATTTTACCCTGATGATTTTGCGGCAAATGTTCCACGATGTTTTATATTTAAAGGTTCAGTGTTTAGGATTTAGGCGGACATATTGGCAGAAATTGAATATAATTCTATTATCTATATGAATTTTTACCTTGTGTTTTGGCTTTGTTCATATTTTAGCTCTGTTATGTGTTATGTTATGCTACGTCCTGTATTTTGGTGAGCCGAAGACAATTTTCCACCCTGGTGGACAATAAAGACTTATTCTATTCTATTCTATTCTATAATATAAGCATGATTTCTTTAGTATTTAATCACCTGATAATAAGAATCATTGTGTTTTCGTTACCTTAGAATGAGCAATTCATATCTAATAGGGAATGGGTTCTTGCATATGGAGATTGCCATGTTGCACTGCTATGTTTCTATGGTAGCCCAGAACGGACAAACATAGCACAGGCTCTAGACAGGCCTTTCCCGTTGTCCGTCCTACTTTGGCTGCTAAGGTCCAACAGTTTAACAAACTTGAAGCAATTCCTTAAGGACAAGAACCAAGATGAGGAGAAAACCTTAAATTGTTAAGTAAACATTTTAAGGAAACGTTAAGGAAAAGACTCAAGGATGTTTGTGAAACCGATTTCTGCATCTGAAAAAAGGTGAGCTCATATTAGCAGGTGGTGGGTGAGCCGCCCGTCTCCAGGATGCCAAACAGCGTTATAGTGACACTGATTTGTAACGTCAAATTGCTTTACTCTTTGTTCTTCACTGGTTTGAATCACTGGGTCTGTTTGTTTTGGAGAGGACAAGACCTCTATGGATAATTCAGCTCCCAGTAAAACACTGAACTGACTGAACAATAAACGCTGAAGGATTCCTAACCGGGAGAAGTTTCAGCTTGTTACAATCTGCAGTCCTCCTCGTGGCGCTAGGTGCCACTAAATTCCCCTAAATCTTACACACTGAACCTCTAAATATTTGTAATAAAAACATTTAATTCTTTAATTCTAGTTTTAAATTGACAGAATCTCAGCTGAACAAAAAGTCCTGAATAAAAGGAAAAGATGTTTGTAATCTGAGGTTTCTGAGGTGTGACAGAGTGTTACACACGTGTGAAAAGATTTAAAAGAAATGGATCTGCTATAGGGGAGAACTTCTATCTAGGGCTGCAGCCAACAATTATTTTCATAGTCAGTTTATTTTTCAGTGTTTTTAAATCAATTATTAAAAAAGTTGTTTAGTCTAAAAAAAAGTGAAAAAGGCCCCAAAGTATCTTCAAACAGGCTGAAACCTAAAGATATTTTATTTAAATAACATAAAAAAGTTAAAATTCAGGAGCTGTAAATGTTTGACATGTTTCCTTGACAAATGACCTAAACAATGACTTAATTATTAAATGGCTGCAAGTAATTTTCTATCAATCAACTAATAGTTTCAGCTTTAGATGTTCCTTATAATCAGCAGTTATTAAATCTCAGTGTGTCTTCTCTCAGTCATCCTATTTATTTTGTTTCTGGTATCAAACACCATCTGCATGTTGATGCTAAGAATTTTATTTCTAGTCGAAGAAACAAATCTTTATCCAGTAATCTGATGATTCTACATAAAGCAACTGATTATTTAATGTGTTACAAACTGCATTTTTCTGCAGAGTCAGCACGCTATCTAAAGTCAAAAACCGGGGCAGCATTATAACGGTGTCATGGTGAATCTTCTTCTCGGCAGTATTGCGAGATCTCTGTTTAAAAAGGGTGAATAAACACTTTTCTCTGACTTGGGAGCTGAAAATGCTTTGTGAAATAGTCTCAGATGAAACACTTGCATTATTTTTTAAATTCAATGTTCAGTTTTTTAATTCATAGTTTCCGCCTTTAGCCTCGTCATGTTTCCTGAATATATCTCAAGTTATTTATAAGAATCTCTGTTTTTAAGTCCCACATTTACAGTATTGTTCAAAAAATCAGACTGTTCTGTGCAGATATTTTACATCACTCCGCTTAAAAACAAATTATTACTGTAAACCTGATGCTGGTTTTCATTTTTCCTGCAAATTATTCATTTTTTTGTGTGTTATTTATTTGTGTCAAACTGTGTATAAAGGGCCTTTCAACTAAAATAATGTGATCTCAAAATGCAAAAGACTAATAATTGGGTTTTTGTGAATTAATTTTATCTTTCTGTTAAACTCTCCTTTCAGGGCCAACGACTAATATTTGATTGATGCACACACGTACAACTCACGCGAACAAACAGGGGTAAAGTCTGTTCAGTCGCACAAAAGCAAACAACATGTCAGTCCGCGGCCTCTGACACAGAAATCACCACGGCAACACTCGACCTCACCTGACTAATAAAAAGAGGTTGACTGAAAACACAGTAAGCACTCTGTCACTGCCTTTGGTGAGATGGAAACACACACACACTCTTCTCTCTCTCTCTCACACACACACACACACACACACACACACACACACACAGATGGCACGGTGGCTGGTCCGTGCAGGTGGAGGTAACCCCAGGCAACAGGAGGAGGAGGAGGAGGTGGAGGAAGAGGAAGAGCTTCATCCTCCTCAGCTCCTAATCAGTGTCAGAAACTCGTCGCGGGTTTTTGGGTCTTCCCTGAAAACTCCCAACATGGTGCTGGTGACGGTTTTACTGTTCATCTTCTGAACGCCTCGCATCACCATACACATGTGACTGCAGGGAGGAAGAGAGCGGAGTTAAAACGACAGGAAATGAAGTGACGATAAAAAGATAAAAATAAAGAGAAAATTACATTAAGAAATAAAAAGGAGCAGGAAGGAGAAAGAAAGAGAAGGGAGGTGAGGGGAAGGAGATGTAACTGGAAAGAGTGACTGAATATACTGACTGTTGCGCTTTTGTTTTTCACAGATTTAAGTTAAAGATCCGAGACATTTTACATGTAGTCAATAGAAATATGGCCCTCAAACTGTTGTTAGATATTTATTAAAGTCAGTGTTCGTGAGCATGTTTCCTTTCCCGAGACAATCCATCCACCTGACAGGTGCGGCATATCAAGGTGCTGATTAAACAGCATCGTTACTACACAGCTGTGTCTTGGGGTAGTCACAATTAAAGGCCACTTGATCACACAACACGATGACAGACGTCTCAAGTTTTAAGAGTGTGTCACTGGCATGCTGACTGCAGGAACGTCGACCAGAGCTGTTGCCTGTAAACTAAATGTTCAGTTCACTACCATAAGATGTCTCCAATGTGGTTTTATGGAATTAGGCATAAATCCAACTGCACTAGTTGGTTACGGTGATGAACTGCTGTTGTGCCAAGACCCTGGTGAGGGCAATGAGCATGCTGATGAGCTTCCCTGAGACGGTTTCTGATGGTTTGTGCAGACATTTTTTGGTTGTGCAAACCAATTATTGCATCAGCTGTTTGGGTGGCTGGTCTTAGATGATCTTGCAGGTGAAGACACTGGATGTGGAGATCCTGAGCTGGTGTGCCATGCCAAATGCATGGAAATTACATTGGAGAAGGCTTTGTGACGACCCTCCTCCCATACTCTAGGTGGCTCTCTTGCCCGGCTGTGACAGCTTATGGTAAGGAAATGAAGAGGGCAACATCTCTGGTGGACGTTCCTGCAGCCAGCATGCCAGTTAACACACTCCCTAAAAACATGAGACACTTGTGGCCTCGTGTTGTGTGATCAAACTGCACTTTTTAGAGTGTCCTTTTATTTTAACAATCCAGAGGCGGGTGGTGGGCCAACAGGACAGAAGCTCCATGTAATTTATTATCCATGACCTAAGGCCGGCCAGCTCCCCCCGAGGTCTGGCTCCAGAAAGGGGGCCTGATTTCCAAGTACCAGACAAGGCACTCAAGCTCTGCTGTAGCCGTGTCATTGAGGTTCTTGAATTGCTCTAAGTCTGGCCCCTCCCCTGGGACCACGCTGCCTCGGAGGACTCTACCAGGAACTATTTGCTCTGGACAAAACCCTGGAGCTCCCAGGATCACTGGCACACCAGTGTAGTAATGATGCTGTTTAATCAGCACCATGATATGCCACACCTGTCAGGTGGATGGACTGTCTTGGAAAAGGAGAAGTGCTCACTGACACAACTTGTGACCAAAATGTGAGAGAAATATATTAATTGTGTGCATAAAAAGTCTTAGATTTTTAACTTAAACCTTTTAAAAGTGGTAGTTAAAACAAAAGTTTTGAGTTTAAATTTTATTTAGAGTAAAAAGGAAATGAGGTGTTGAAAATCGAAGTAATGGAACAGAGTCGTGTCAAAGATATATTTACTAATGTATAACGATTCTTAATATTTGAAACTGTTTCAGTACACATATTCTACAGCTCTGATACACCGGTATCTAAGTTTTCAATGTCAATTTCTTCCCATAGTATCTAAAATGGTATCAAATATCAATCTTTTTCGAGGTATTTTATCAGAGTTAGAAATTCCAGTACCATGATGACACAAGAATAGAGGTAAAAGTGATAAAAGAATAAAAAGAAGAAGGACAGAAAGATGAGGTAAAAGGAAAGGAAAGGAGGCGAGGAGATGGAAGGAGAAGAGAGGGGAAATGAGGTGAAGGAAAGGAACTCGACGTGTTCAGTTAAACATACGTACGTTGCCTCAATGACCACGCCGACCCCGGTGGGCTGCAGCGCCTCGGTGATTGCCACAGCAATTTGTTTGGTCAACCTCTCCTGAACTGTGGACGCACAGACAGATGGACAAACATGTACCAGGTCTGCCAGAACAAACATGCAGAATGACAGAGTAAAATGAAAGTCTGTGTTTATGTAACAGCAGACTTTAACTCGGTACCTTGTAGTCGACGACTGTAGATTTCAACGATCCTGAAGGGGGAAAGAAAGAGGGACAAGTTATTCCTCGGTGCCACAGAGCTCCGTCTCTGTCCACAAACTGTTGACAACACATCAATGAGCCACACTGCTGCACGAGGTGACATGTGCTTCATTACCACAAACACACACACACTGTAGTTTATTTTGGCCCAGTCACACATACACTGTCCCGCTACCTCATACACTCACTACAGCACCAAAAGTGGATTCATGAACAAGGTAAACCCAACCCCATTTGAAGGCAACACACAACAGAAAGCATTAACGAAAAAAAACTGTCATTTTAAAGCTATTTCCTGATGTGACGAGGGAACAGAGGGGAAATGAACAGATGTGCAGAAACGACCCGGTCTTCACCTTCGACCTGTTGCTCTTCTCTGTGAGCAAAACCTCTTAGGACAAATTCGCCCTCGTCCACCTCCGAGAAAATGTCACAAGAACAAACGTACAGCACGAGGAGAGGCTGAACGTGCTGTATGTACATGAAGGAGAGGCAAGATGCTGCAGCTGGGAGAAAGCAAAAGCTGCTTCAGAGAAAAGAAAATGTTCTTCATCCAGTCAGTCATGTGGACTTTGATTTGAAGGTGTGACAGGAAAATGAAAATGGAGGTGAACTTTGTTTTTAAAAATGTCTTGAACAGAAATTAATTTCAGATCACTTCACTTCCTGCCCCTGTGTGTTTCCTCCCTTTTGATGACCTCACCTGTGTCTGATTGTCAGTCCCGCCCTGATTAGTCTCACCTGTATCTCGTTATCCTTCCCCTCACCACAGTATTTAGTGTGTGACTTGTTTCCTCTCACTGCCAGTTCGTCTTAGCTCCTTGTGTGTCTAGTGTTTCCGCCTTTCGTTTCCCAGTGTCCTATTCTTAGTTTTTTTGGATTTTGCCTTTTGACCAGTGAAGAGTTGTTGGTTACAGTTATTTTACCTCAACTGTCTCCAGAGTCGTGCGATTAAGTCCACTCTCACCTGGTTCACAATTAACATTTTTTCTGCACATATTTGCATGTATCTATAAACATACAGATGTACATGTATTTTTTTTCCTGGCTCTAAATTTAAAGATGGATTTGTTGATCCCATCAAAGTCACAGGGACTTTACAGAATATTCTTCCTTTTCTATGTGTGGGGAAAAAACTGTGCCCTTGGTTAGTTAACACTTTCCACCCCATTAGAAAGAAAGACTGTGTTCATGTACATACTCAGGCACTGTAGGTGTTTTATTTTGTGTGTCACTGTATTAATGTAATTTTAGGTATTTGTTTTTACAAATTGAGATGATGTAAAAAAGATTATGAAGCTCTTCACAACAATAAATACTAAGTAGATTCATCTCAAAGGAAAGATTCAAGAATGAGCAGTGAGATGAAAATCAAGTCAACAATTCATCCAGAGTATCTGAACCAGTCTGCAATGCCAGGGGTCGGCACGCCTGGGATCCCACCCCTGCCTGTTGCCCAGCACACTTTGCACCTGAACATGCCTATCCCTGCAGGATGGGGGCCCATGGGACTGCTCCAGAGAGGGGCCCCGCTTTCCAGGTAAAAGGCGAGGTACTCAAGCTGTGTTGTAGCCGTGTCATCAGGGTTCTTGAATCGCTCTTAGTCTGGCCCCTCCTCTGGGACCATTTTGCCTTGGAGGACTCATCCATCCATCCATCCATTTTCATCTGCTTATCTGGGGCCGGGTCGCAGGGGCAGCAGGCCAAGCAAAGCACCCCAGATATCCCTCTCCCCAGCAACGCTTTCCAGCTCCTCCTGGGGGACTTCAAGGTGTTCCCAGGCCAGACGAGATATGTAATCCCTCCAGTGTGTTCTGGGTCTGCCCCGAGGCCTCCTATCAGTGCAATGTGCCTGGAACACTTCAAACAGAAGGCGCCCAGGAGGCATCCTGATCAGATGCCCAAACCACCTCAACTGACCTCTTTCGACGCAAAGGAGCAGCGGTTCTACTCAAAGCTCCCTCTGAATGTCCGAGCTCCTTACCCTATCTCTAAGGCTGAGCCCAGCCACCCCACGGAGGAAACTCATTTCAGCAGCTTGTATCCACGATCTCACTCTTTTGGTCACTACCCAGAGCTCATGACCATAGGTGAGGAATGGGACGTAGATGGACCAGTAAATTGAAAGCTTTGGAGGACTCAACTAGGAACTATTTGCTCTAGAAAAAACAGCTCCTAGGATCACAGGGACACGCAAATCCCTCCACAATATTAGGGTGGCAATTCTTAAAAAGGGGACCAAAGAGTGTGTTCTAATTATCGGGGTACCACACTGCTCAGCCACCTGGGAAAGTTCATTCTAGGGTGATGGAAAGGAGTCTCCATCCGACTGTTAATGTCCCAACCCTCACCCATGGTCACGAGCTTTGGGTAGTGACCAAAAGAATGAGATCTTGGATACAAGCCGAGGCCTCAGACATCATGTGAGGAGCTCAGAAACATGGAGGGAGTTCGGAGTAGAGCCACTGCTACTTCGCGTTGAAAGAAGCCAGTTGAGGTGGTTCAGGCATCTGATCAGGATGTCTCCTGGGCGCCTCCCACTGGTAGGAGGCCCCAGGGCAGACCCAGAACATGCTGGAGGGATTATATATCTCATCTGGCCTGGGAATGCCTCAGGTCCCCTGGAGGAGCTAGAAAGTGTTGCTGGGGAGAGGGATGTCTTGAGTACCTTGCTCTGCCTGCTGCCCCCGTGACCCAGCCCCGGATGAGCATATAAAAATGGATGGATGTCAAAATCAATTTATTTGAAAGTTAACCTGAAAATGAGCAGAGTGGATTTGTCTTTAAATTAACCGTCAGTGCTAAGAAATGATAGCAACCAGGAAGTAAGTCTGTAAACTGTGAGCGACATTTACAGCAGACAGTCTCAATGATCATTTTACCGTTTGCCTTCTGTCATGTCGCCTGATCTCACCCAAAAAACTACTAAAATAAGACCCAGGTTGAATAAAACCACCTTTTCCCTTGGAACACTCCTGTAGCCGTGCAGTATTTCTTTGCTTCCTCTCAGATCGTGAAGGAAAGAAACCAAATTTTAAAGGCTTTAAAATTAGCGCCACCCAGTGTGCAGCAGAGGAAAACAATTCACAGGAGCTTTATTTTTGTTTTAAAAAATGTGAATGTTTCAGTTGTTCTCATCACAATGAGAGTGTGCATGTCGAGTCCCGGGTTAGTTAAGGGTGTTAGTGTGATAAGCCTGAAGGTATTGGGGTCAGTGGGATCAGATTCTACGCCAGTACACACACAAACACACACACACTCACCATTTAATAATCAGCTTAAATACACACTAGCGCTCACTCTCTCTCTCGCACACACACACATAATTAGAGTAAATTGACTCACCTGGCCAGCTTGCTGAGGCCCAGAACTCTCTTGTTGGGGAGGTAACCGATGTGAACCTGCAGACGGTTGAAAATTCAAGGTCAAATATTTTAGGTAAACTTGTTTTATTGGTGTAAACTCTGTTGCACAACTCATCTGATCCAAGCTCACATAAAATGTTAAGCAGCATCACTGCTTAAGATGAGACAGGTTATGCAGTAATTAAGCAGATGAATTTGTACACTGCCACAGTTGTGAACCTCTGTGACTTTTACAAACACACTAAGCACTAAGGCTGCTAAGAAACACTTTCAGTATGGTACCTTTGGAGCCAAAAGTAACCCATCAGACACGGTACCTAGACCCTAGCGTTTCCACTGCAAACAGTACTCTTAAATGTGGGCGGGGTTGTTGTCACTCACTGCTCCGTCCAGCACTCACTGTATTTCCTCCTTTATCAGTCTGCACCTCGTTTATCGTCCGCAGAACGAGGCTGCACGTTGACATTTTCAGAACAAAATAAAACAGGCTGCAGTGAGAGTCTCTCTCCATGGGATATTTAAAAATAGCGAGTTTGTGCATTTAGTCCTTCTAAGGCAAGCTCAGGGGTTTAGTGTTGCCAGAGCCCACAGGAACGACGCTCCACAGCGCTTTTTTTTTTTTTTCTCAGAGTGAGGACTGGAATATATGCATTTCACATAATCTGGTCGAAATTAATATATATAAACACTTGAAGATCCACTCATTAGTAAAATTGTATGTCATATAAAAACTAAAGTAATGGTCAAAGTTGTCACAGTGAAATTTAAGGTGTGCTGATGGATTCACAACGTCAACTCATGCATTGAGTAACATTTCAAGTTACCGTTCCACCTTAAAAGTTGCCGGCAGTCGGCCCAGTGAATTAAGTATTTTTCTCAGATTGCAAAACATCCTTTCATTTTATAGTTACAGTTTACTAATAAAATTCTCCACAGTATGAACAGTGGTTACATGAGCCTCAAAACCAGCCACAACTCAGCCCTGAGCAGAGTGACCGTCCTCTACTGACCAATCAGACTGTGTGCTAGGTACCCCAGCAGAGGGGGGACCAAACATGGGGACAGTACGGAACGATTCTATTGGTACCATCCACAACTTTTCACAGTGGAAATGGAAAAAAGCGTACTGAACTGAACAGTACCGTACTGCTCGATGGAAACGGGGAGTCTCTTAAGCGAAAAGCTTGGGAGCCACTGCTTTGAGTTTTTAGCTCTTGTGGTATAACGTGAGGGTTTGTCACATGTTGGTTTTAATATGTCAGAACCCAAAGAGAAGGTAGCAGAAGCCAATGCTGAGAGCAGAGCAGGTGGACGAACAACAGACGAGAGAGAACGAAAAGACGGCGTCATCAGCTGGAGAATCACTGCTGTGGATGTCTGCAGGCAACACACTCACATACACACACGCACACACACACACACATGTGCGCTCCACTCAAATGTCAGACGCAATTTGTTGACGAGACGAGAGAAAGGGCAGCGGCAACAAGCGTGCAAAGATCTCTTTTCCTTCCAGTTTCCTCCCTCTCTGACATATCAACATCAAACAGACCGACTGTCACAGCTGGTTGTTCACTTATCTGCTCACGTTATTCACGTTTACTGGCACACACTGGCAGCGACAATGGAGCAAAGAAAAAATGTATAATAAAGCATGAGAGGAATCTTTAATTGTAGCCATTTTTAGATGGTAGCTTTGGTTTTAAGGCACATTTACTGTTCGTTTCCAGTTAACAAGCATCTGATACACCTACTGTACACTACCTGTTCAGCACCAAACAGCTGACAGACAAAGTTTGCAACTAGCTGCTAAAAAAAGTGAATCATTTAGCAGCCCGGTTCATTAGTAGGGCTGACAACTCCTGGTCGTTTGATCGATTGGTTGGTTGACACGCTCTTGTCTGATCAAAAGTCCTATTGGTCGGACAATCACTGGTGTTACTTTCAGAAGGCTGTGCGTCCATCAAAGCATTTTTCCAAGCTGGAGATACAAGACGGTCTTCTGAAAACGCCCAGCGGAGAGCTGCTTGAGAGCACTTTGGAGGTGCAGCATTTATTCTGCTACGGCGCTTTGGCTGCGTCTGGTTGCTACAAAATGGAATATCCGTGGAAGTAAAAATGTTGGCACAAGGTAGAGGACCTGCTCTGGATGAAGGGAAGGCTGGAACACGCAGGGAGAGAGGACAGACCAGGTGTTCTACGTGGCCAACTATTAATATCCCCTCCAAGGTTGTTGTTGTTCAGCCCTTGTACATGTTGGAGGATGTGATGGTTTATCTTTGTGGTAGGCTATTTGTCCTACCTTTCTTCCACTACGATTGGACTGCAGTGATGAGTGCAGCATTTTCCCCAGGTTGAACATTTTTCAGCTCTTGGCAACCAGAAAAAACATCAAACAGTGGTAGAGGACAGGGGGACTGTGGAGGTGGGTGTGGTTAGTCGTCAGCTGCAGGGGACGGGTGTGGGGGAATGGCTCATGAGAGTAGTACCAGGTGAGTTGATTGACACAGCTGCTGCTGGTTTGCTCTGATTACATTTCTCCCTTTTTAATGCAGTAGTGTACTGGCTATTGAGAACTGCTGCCCCGAAGAAGGAGAAGGAGACTGCCTGAGTTTTTGGTTGAAACTGATTGGACTGGGAGACATATGCTGGAGGAGCCGGGCAGCTACAGAACCATGCTGAAGATTGATTTTGTTGTTGTGAAGTGGGCAGTAGTTCAAACGGAGTGCTGAGTCTGTGCATCTGTGCTGGGGGAACTCACAGTGGTAGCAAGATGGCTGCTGGAACACTTGTTTTCTTTGGGTCTTTTTTTGAAAAAACACAAAGGATCGTACTCTTTGACATTATGAAAAGGACCCCCACAGAGACAAACCTTTTCTTAGACACTTATAAAATCAATCTGAGCCTGTTAATGGCAAACAGGAGCAGGGAGATGTCAACCTGTCTAGTTGCTGCCAGCTGCAGCCCTCTCGCTCAGTGCTGGATCAGTTAAAAAACTGTTGAAAAACACGGTCTTGGCTGAAAAGTTCCTAACTTACACTTTTAGAGTGGCCCTTCAATGACCTGTTTCACCAGGAAATACATCCCACTGATACTGATACCAGTTTATGGGACTTTCAGAGGCTGAACATGACACCAAATATTTTTTTTTGCAGTGTACTTTATCTTCAAGGGTTGATACAGACAGGCTGTAATAAACTTCTCTTGTGCGGCAGACACTGAGACACTTTATCAAACAGCCGGTGGCTACCTGCACGCTGTCTGACCAACAATAGAGGAGGATGTGGAGGAGGAGGAGGAGGAGGTCTCTCTCCCTGTGTGGTGAGTCACTGAGAGACACAACAGACACACAGGGAGATGACAGAGGCTGGATAAGAGGCAACGCTGCTGACGGTGACGAGGGGAGGGAGGTGGTTTAGGGACACAAACAGCACCTGATGGCCACCACACACACACACAAACGCAGGAGGTGTGGTGAGAGTCTGTGTGATTCACTGCTGTCATCAGAGCCCATTTACACCGGTGGAAACGGATCAGCTGCCAGCTACTATTGTGTTAAACGACATGCACCTGTAGGCGAAGGAGGAGGGATGGGGGAGCAGAGAAAGAAGAATCAGAAAGAGGGAAGAGGCCAATCAGGTTTGTTAGTGGAGAGTAATGATGTCAAAGCAGCAGCAGGGACGAGGAGGAGGCGGAGGAGGCTAAAACCAACAGAACAAACGCACGATAAACAGATCTCAGCTAATCTGATTGTTTCTCATGTTCTCTGTTGTTTAGACCAGTGGCCTCCAGATAAAGGCTTTTTAAGATACACATCTCTTACTATGTTCTGATGTCTCTGACTCTTTGTATTAGATTATGAAGATTTGCAGCTTTCTTTAGAAAAAAATCCCCTTTATTGGTTATACCAGAAAGCAAAGCTGCTCGGCTGCAATAAAGTAGTGTTTATGTACACTGCTCTCAGTTTAACTTCAGGGATATCAATCTGTCCATTTAGGAAGCACAAGTGATTGTGAATCAGTTTCAGCTGCTTTGGTGCAAATGAAAGTGACAACAGGTGCACTGGAGAGGCAAAAGCAAGACAACCCCCCCAAAAAGGGAACGGTTTTACATGTGGTGTCCACAGACAGTTGCTCTCTCCTTATCCTTCCTCACTGATTCTTCTCTAGTTTTGTGTTCTGCTAGTGTCCTTGTCACTACTGGTAGCATGAGGCGGTACCTGAAGCCCAATCAGGATGCACAGGTAGTCCAGCTCCTCCAGGATGGCACATCAATAAGTGAAGTCACAAGAAGATTTGCAGTGTCTCCAAACACAGACTCAAGAGAATAGAGGAGAAACCAGGAGACCAGCAGTTACAAGAGGAGAGCTGGACAAAACCGTAAAAGGGCATCAACCCAGCAGCAGGACCAGTATCTGCTCCTTTGTGTGAGGAGGAACAGGAGGAGCACTGCCAGAGCCCTACAAAATGACCTCCAGCAGGCTACTGGTGTGCATGTTTCTGACCACACTGTCAGAAACAGACTCCATGAGGGGGGCATGAGGGCCTGAGCCCAGCACCGTGCAGCTCAATTGAGTGAGGGCTGATACAAAGTTTATTTAAGCTTTTTAAAATCATTATACATCCAGACTGTGACAATATACTGACGATTCTGTTACAGTGGATATGGACACTGGAGATACATCTGGATCATGTATAGGAATTATTTCTATGACGACCTTTTATTGTTTTGTCTTTTTTTTAATCGTATGTCAGTGGGTCTGGGGGCCTGTTGTGTGTAGTTATGTCTTGTTTTTGTTCTTGTTTATACATGTTCTAAACATTCACAATAAAAAATAAAATACAGTTGCTAAATCAGTTGCTTATATACTTAAGTTCAACATTCTGCCTTTGCCAAGGGTTTGTTTTTGATGGTTAAAATATAAAAGCAACAGTTTTCAAAAGTCCTTAAAGGGCAGTTCCATTATTTAATTTAATTTAATTTAATTTAACTTGAAGTAGTTTTCCTGGTAACTCTTGGTAGCACAAAAAATGAGGAGTTACTATGGAACTAATAAGGAATGAATGAGTTACAAACCAATCAAATGTCATACAGTAGCTAATCATAAGTTAATAATTAGGTAAGTATTAATGGCTAAAGGAAATAATGAGGAACGAATAAGAAGCTAACCATTAGTTAATGGTTGGCTCTCGAATAAGTCCTAATCAAATGTGATAGAGTAGCTCATCATTAGTTAATAACTAATGATTTTAAAGGTCCAGTGTGTAGGATTTAGTGGCATCTAGTGGTGAAGGTGCAGATTGCAATGCACAGAAACTTCTTTGGGGGCAAATGTGTAAACATGAATGGCCCTTTCTAAACGCCAATGTTTGGTTTGTCCGTTCTGGGCTACTGTACAGCAACATGGCGGACTTCGTGGAAGAGGACCTGCTCTAAATGGCTCAATCTAAGGTAACAAAAGCTATTCTTATTTTCAGGTGATTATAAATTAATGAAAACATACTTTTGAATCTTCTAAATCCTACATACTGGACCTTTAAATGAACAACTACCACCTTCCTAAACCAGAGGAGGAAGACGTGTCTGTGCTCACCCTGCCAAAGATGGGCACCAAATGATGTTCACACATGGAGAACATGTCGATGTCTTTGACAATCACCATCTCGTCGTGGTCTTCATCGAAGATGGCGTCGTTGAGCACGTCTGCGGAGAAAACAAAATGGAGGAGAGATTAAATCAAAGGGAAGAATCTCCTGTAATTCCCAAAAAGAGGAACAAGTTCTTCTAACTTGGCTACCACATTGTCTTCCTGTATTAATTTATTTCACCTTAGTCCATTTACTGCATTTGTTAATTAATTTGATCAACTTTTTTTCTTTTCGGAATCATTTACAGATTAATTAGAGGTTGTTTATTTACTATAAATGTATTCTACTGTTTGTTTATGTGCTGTATTTATGCCTTGTTCTGTCCTTTGTGAGAGTTTACTTCAGGATTTTTATAAAATATATATAAAAATCATCCTGCATCCATTTCTGTCCCCTCACAGACAGACAGCTGGAGACCACCAGGGACGCCCAGTTCACCTCCACCGTTGATCCACAGCTTTTTATCGTCAACACTGGTGTTTCTCTTTGACAAACACTGCTGTCTAATTATAGCTCTGCTTCCATACGCTCCTTCCTGTTGTTGCTTTATTGCATTTTTCAGTTGCCGTGGGTTCAATAAACCGCTTTATCTGTTTGTGACGACGCAGACGCCTCTCGCTCTCAGCACGGCATTTTTTAATTTCCTGACTGGCTATCTGTTGGAGGGAACGAGGTGGTGGGGTTGGGGCGGGGGGTGTCACAGGAACATCAGGGAGCAGACTTGTTGCTTCAGTCTCTGCTGCTTATTGAATGACTCTGTGTGTGTGTAAATGACAGATATCGTTTAACACATTCAGTCTCTTTTTTTTGTCCATTTTTGTTTTGTCTGATTATGACGCAGAGTCACGATGATGAACGATGTCACCGTTCATCATGAAGATCTTTCCCACCAACACACACATATTGGCGTTTTGTCTCATGATGTCTCTTGATCTTACTTGACAGCTTTCTCTCTGCAGATGAGGTGCTCTGTTTTGGGACATCTACCTTCACGTCTGCAGGAGAAACCAGAAGTCGAAGGCTTTTCTTTGACACCTCAGGTTCGACCTCAGATGTGTTAAGCACTCAGCTGTATCAGTTATCATTTTAGCTCCATTTACGGCAATAAATCTTTCCACTGATTGTTCTGATAGCTGCTGCTCCTCACTGCCATGCAGATTAACACTCACACTGTTGTGTTACAATGTTAGCTGTTTTCATCCTGGTTGCATTTTAAAATTTGACATGCTTTAAAATATAATGTAAACCTGTTATTAATGCACATTCAGCCTTGTTTTTTAAATGTAATTACATATTATAAAACAGAGTCTACAGCCATGCTAACTGTGCTGTGAAGCTACAGACACAGTGGTGCTTTGAGCTAAATGCTAACGTCAATGTTAGCTTGCTAACATTTTGTCACCTCAAAACACAAAGTTTAGCTGGCGGTTGATGTCATTAGTTTTGCAGGAACTTGGACCTAAACCAAACTGTGGAAAACTTACGTGAACAGTTATTATAGTTCTTCATACTGATGAAGAACTGATGGAATGTTAATGTCTGAAACATATAATAAGACTGCAAACCACATATTTCAACCTCAGAGTAGCACTAGAGTTAAATCCAATCACTAAAGTCATTATGATTTGTTTTCTTGGAACCATGACTGTCTGTGCCTAGTCTCGCCACCAGACAATCAGAGATCTCCACCTTCTGATAGTCTGGGGACACTCTTTTCTAAAGTGTGTTTAACACACCGGCAAAAACTGCCGGCAACAAAGCAATGCCTCTTACATTTTTGAAAAGGACACGCCCTCCCGGAAATGTGCCCCTTTTCTCGTCTGCAAGGAAACAAACACACAGAGAGCTTGAAAATGGATGCCGAGAGATTTAACTCCGTTTTATCAAACGTGTGCTCAGTCTACAAGATTGTGGAAATGAAGGACTTACAGCAACTTAAGCCATTTTGTACCGCTACACGTGTTTCTAGTTGGACTACGAGCGCGCCACCGAAGGACCGCCCTGCGGATTTACTATTGGTGCTGCAACGTAGGGAGTTTTTTTAAACTCTGAAATTGTATCCACCCATCTAAACACAAAATCAGGGAGAAAGTCATCAGTCTTTAGTTAAGCAAAGCGTCTAAAGACTGACTTGTGAGTCTAGTCTGTGCCAAATATTAAGAAAATATCTCATCGGTAAATGTTGAGATAGTCATCACAATCTTATCTCTACTCGTCATATTTTGCTGCTTGGCCAGAAGCCCAGTGCGTTAATAAAATGATACTGGCAAGCAGCCTTTAAAGTTGTGTCCTGACGCATAAGGGGTCAGTAGTAAGAAGGAGACAGTGGTTAGGTTTAGACAACAAATTTGCTTGGTTATGGTTAGGAAAAGATCGCACATGTCGCTAACAGAACACCCAGCTTTACGTGGCACAAACACAGTGGTAAGAAGGGATTGGCAGTTAGGTTTAGGCGACAAAACTACTTGATATATGGATAGGAAACAATCGTGGTTGACATTAGTAATGTGATGTGACTTGTGTAAGTGGTTGAGGGTTAGGTTTAGGCAACAAAACTACTTGTTTACAGTTAGAAAAGTATCACTAAGGATTACTAATGTCAGTGGGATCCATCCTCTGAAGATCATGAATATCTGCCTGTCCTATAGTTGATAAGTCTGGGCTAAACTGGTGGGCCGACTTACCGACACTGCTGAGAGACACAGCACTTGCGTGGTAAAAAAAAATGTAGATAAACGAATCTTGTGGCACACCTAACCTCTTCAAAAGACATTTGGAAACAACTGCATCAGGTCTGCTGTCTGCCTTTTTTGATACTGCTACTGGGGGGCAGTCAGACATTTTTAAATTCTGAACATTCTTGCTTCCAGAATTGCATCTCTCTAAAGTCTATTTGTTGGATCGACACCAAAGTTTAATCAGCTTCTGGACACACTATAAACCTTATTAACCTCACAAACAAAAGGATTCTGGATGCCGTTTGCCTTCAGGTTAACACTGTAATAAAGTGGTAATCCTGTTTTTGAAGTTTTGTAATCAAGAACAAAGTTAAAGTGAAAGAAAGACTTTGCTGCTAATAACTTGATCTGGGGTTCGGCAACCGCTGCAACAAACTCCAACAGCCAAAAATCGCAGGTGGTCAGACAATCACACACCTGATGTGGGGAAAATTACCTGTCATCTTTATCATTCTGGCATCTCAGTAACCTGGAGGTTTGTTTAGAACGAGATCTTTTGACTGCTGTTGTTCGTTGTCTCATTGGACTTTGATTTTATAGATGTTGTGCTTCCAGATCTTAACCTGAACTAATTAAACAACAGATATTGTGACAATCATTAAAGTCATTTGTCAAGCAAAAATGCCACACACTCTGGTTCCAGCTTCTCAACTGCAAAGATCTGCTCCTTTTTCCATCTTACATGGGATAATATAGTGAATATCATTGAGTTTTGGACTGGAGGTAACTGATTTTGTGGTCACAAGATTGACATAAAATCACCTTATAAGTTGATATGGTGAACTTGCTAGGTTATTTACACATGATGGATTTAAGTCCAATATTCTCTCTCTTTTAGCTCTGTGTTTGGTCTCCACCAACTATTGAGTGAAACATCTGGCTTTTTAGCTTCTAAATGCTCCACTATGTTTGCTCCTGAGCAGGTAGTGTATAGGGACTGTACTGACGACTAATTTCCCTGATATTCAAAGAGAGGTTTCGATTGGTTGAGTAGTCTAAACGTAGGACACAAAATTGAGCACAATTTAATCTATAAGGTTAAACCCTGTCCAAAAAATAATGCATGTAGTTTATCGGAGCCACTGAAATCGTCACATTTTTCAATAACCAAATTTTATGCTGAAGAAATGTGTGGCACTTTGCACCGTGCATTATGAACATTGCACATTATGCTATGCTACTGCAAGTGATTACTTTACTTAGCCTACACTGCTAAATGCAGCTACATGCTAACGTCAGGGAAACATGTGAACTTGCTGATGTTATTTCTCCTCGATTTCGGATCAGATTCCTGCTGGAACATTTTTTATAATGGTTGAAAGTGCAGCTGTTCTCTGTTGCAGTCATTCTCTGGCTGCAATGACACTTTAGAGATGTTGAAATGCGGAAGATCTGGAAACACTGACCAATCAGAGCAGACTGGGCTTTTTCAGGAGTGGGGCAGATGCTAAAACTGAGCATTTCAGATAGAGGGTAAATACAGTGGTTCCAGCATAAACAGTATGAGGAAGAATAAAATGTTTTTTGACCATTAAATCCTGTAAACATTTTCTGGAAGAAAACCTTAAATACAACAATGAACCTGAAAATGAGCATAATATGTCCTCCTTAACACTGTCCCATTAGTAAAATACAATTTAGAGCCACTTGAATTAATAATCTTTAGTTGCAGCCCCTTTAACTTGGCGAGGAAAATGTCATTATGGTCAAAAGTACAAAATAAAACCCAAGTTCTTACAATAAAGAAGCATTATACTCCCTCTCATTGCAGCTTCTGAACATCAATTACAGTGACAGTGGCATCTCATGCATACATACACATACACACACACACCCTGAAGGAAAATAACCTTAAGTCAGCCTTAACTAAATAAAAGATAAAGGGCAGCTGGTGTGGGCTGCCAGTTTGAGACGCCCTGGGTGACAGAAAGAAGAGGCAGTTATCAGGTAATGACAGTGTTACTCATCATCAGCTCTTCATTCAATAGTGCTCCTCTGTGTGTGTGTGTGTGTGTGTGTGTGTGTGTGAGAGAGAGTGAGAGAGAGAGAGAGAGAGAGAGAGAGAGAGAGAGAGAGTGAAGAGGTCACATGTTGACACGTTCTGAATGAAGCAGGAAACAGCTGACTGAATGACTAAATAAACAACGTTATTCATTTATTGTTTAGGCAGCAAGAAGTGTGTGTGTGTCTTTCTCTCTCCTGCTTGCACACACACACACACACACATTTCCTATACATAGTCTTAACCCTGGGCTGTATTCATGAGTCACTTCTGTACATCCCTGACTTTATATGAACAACAACAACAACAACAACA